GTCGCTGTGTCTGTCTATCTGTCTCCCTGTCTCCCTGTCCTCGTGTGTGTGACAGTAACGTTGATGCTTACGGTGATAGAGAGCGAGAGAGAGAGAGAGGATATAGTGTGACTGCTGACTGGTGACTGCTGAATTGGTGACCCCGACGATACTTGTCCTCCGAAACCACTCCACAACAGGCACCATGGAGGCAGCAATTCAACAAACGCCAGCGACATGGCAACAACGGTAGTTTCAACAACAGCAACAACAACAACAACAACAACAACAACAACAATGTGAAGCAGTTGGGGAATGGAATGGAGCAACATGCTCACGTCGCTGGCGACGTGTCTCAAGTGTGTCCCCCATGCGAATATAACTGAATGGTGTGTCGTTCTTTCTCGTCTCGTTTTTTTTTTTTTTTTTACCTCTACCTCTCCCTCTTATTCACTCCGTCTCTCTTTTTGCTTTTCTGGCAAGTGTTTGTCTGTTGTAATTCACGAAATTGCCAGCAATCGATATAAACATCAACTCTCAATGCGTTTGTCTCCCTTTTTCTGCCTCGTCTGCCTTCTGCCACCCCACACTCTTGGCAGCATTGTTGCTGTTGTGTTGCTGTGTGTCAGAGCTGCCAATGCTGCCAATGCTGCCAATGATCCTGTTGACGTTTCGTTACTTTTACCAGGAGCACAAACAGAAGGCAGAAAGCGAAGCAAACGAGGTGAACGCGGCGTGGGGAGGGGGTGAACAAAAATTGTTTGCTTGGTTTAGTTTTATTTTTATTTTAGTGCCAGCGAAACTGACATTGATGATGATTATTGGGAGTAAATAGAATTGAAAATGCCACCCCCTATCCCTGTATCCCTGTATCCGTGTATCCGTTTGCCAAGGCCCAGTACACACGTGTGTGTGGGCTTCCCGGTCTCAAACTCAAACTCAGTCTCAGTCTCCATCCCCTTTCCCCTTCCCCATTGCTGTTCGCATAATGCGCGCAAATAAATTGCAAAATCAATTGAGCGGTAAAATAGTTTCCCTCAGAAACAACAGCAGCAGCAGAAGCAGCAGCCACAAATCGAAAGTCAATGCAGCAGCCACGCCCCCTTTATACGCCTTCTTGAAGCACTGACAATCGAAAGGAAATCGTATGGAATCGCAGTCAGTGCCGGAAGAGAGCCACGCCTGACATGTGAACCCTGAACTCCGCTCAATGCGGGGCGAACGTCTGCCTGGAGTGGATGAGTGGAGGAGTTGATGATTGGGCATCTCACTATGCAAAAGATATGCGTACGAGAGTATCTGGTAGATGCCAGCGATCATGGAGAGTCAACCAGAGTCAGACCAGAGTCAATCCTGCACGATTGCAAGTATCTGCGATTCATGGCATAAATCTCTGGCATACAATTATGAATTAATTATGAATCTTAAGCGAATCGTTGGAGGCGGCGGTGTTTTCCCACCACCCCCATTTATTATTCATGAATGATCAAAAGTTTTCCCTCGACAGATGGCGGTGGCAAGGGGGTGGGTGTGGGTTGGGCTCCTACTTTTCCTTTCCTTTTTATTTCATTTCCTTTACTTTCTTTTCATTTCCTCTCGCCGCACTTTGGGCTGCTCCTTTTCATTCTTTTGCTTGTCTTGGTTCGCTCTGTTCCCTCCCCCCCCATTCACTCCTTCAGAGAGTCTTGAGAGGCTGGCTGGCTGCCTGCCTGCCTGCGCGCCTTTTGTTCTGGCCATTTTCATCATGTGTCTCTCTATCATTAAGGCGAAAGTACGGCTTAATTGTTGCCACAGACAATGGGAGAAGGGAAAGGGATCCCCCTTCCAGCCACCCCATCGCTGATACCCCCTGGCTACACTCGTTTGCCTATTAAGCAGCATCATAATAATAATGTGTAGCAACAACAACAGCTGCTGGCAATAACTTTTGCATATGTGTAAGTATGTGTATCTATGTGTATGGTTATCTGTTTGTGGAGAGTGTCTGTGCATCTGTGCATCGGTGTTTGTGTGTTTGTGTACTGTTTGGGGACGCATTCAAAGCAATTTCCACAATTTTCGTATTGTTTACTTAATTAATTCTGCACAAAGATTTCCATTTGTGTGAGTGCGTGTGTGAGGGTGGTGTTGGCTATGTACATACACATGTATACGTTTTGTGGGGGTTTTGTCTGCGGCCTCGCAGATGTTCTGCGGTTATTACAGCAAAACCCACAAGAACCCATTCCACCGATACACCACACCACACCGCTCCACCACACCGATACACCCATATTCGCGTAGACAAAAAGGTCTTAATGAGTTTATAACATTTAATGAATCCGCAGCAGCAGCAGCAGCAGCAGCAGTAGCGGCGTATGCGTTATGCACTCTCAATTGTCACACAAAATGGCTTAAAAGTGGCCGCCTTCCGCCTTTAAATATGCAACAAGTTTTGGTTGCTGCCCAATAATTTATAACATTTATAGACGCTATAGCTCTGTGCTAAGCTCAGTCGGAATGAGACATTTACTCGTGACTAAATCGCTCTTGGATCACTCATATACCCCAATTAAGAAGACCTAGGGCCTGGTCGCTAGTGATTCTGGTATTTTCAATATAAAATCCTAGATATTGATCGACTTTGCGATTATTCGGCAAACAGTTTACAGCGCTTTTGGCATCTGATTTAACTGCAACGAAACTGCGAGCGCAGATGAGTTCTTTCTTGCAGCATAAACGTATTCAATTCTGGAATATTGATAGCCTGAAACGATAATCCCGCCAATCACAATCGTATCGATGTATGTATGTATGTATGTATGTATGTATGTATGTAAGATATTATTTAGGTATAGTTTTATTGATATTAAATCGCGTTGCACAGGTCATGTTAAGAATAATTGGGTTGGGCTTTCTGTAGCTGCTTCGATTATCTTCTTACTACTCTCCTTCTGCTGATCTTCATCTCTGCTGTGTTCTTCCTCTGCCTTTGCTGCTTATCTGCTCTTGCTTCTCGTTCTGCTGTTACTGCTGTTCATCTAATGTTACTGCTGCTCTGCTGTTACTGCTGCTCTGCTGTTACTGCTGCTCTGCTGTTACTGCTGTTACTGCTGTTAACCAATGCTCCTTCAGTGGGCCGACTCGCTCACTCCCTGTTATATTTATATATTTTAATTTTAAATGAAATTTCAAAGCAAAGTTCAACTCTTCATTCATTTCGCATTCGCTTTACTATTTCCCCGCCACTTTGAGTTAAATTCCAATCGGAATATCTATCTATACCCCCTCTCTCCATCACTCTATCTCTCTCTTTCTCTGCCGCTGTCTCTTTCTGGGTCTCGATTGATATCGGAATTCTTGCCGAACATAAAGTTGACATTGGGGCCAGGCCAAAGGCAAGAAACACCGAAATAGACAGATAGAGACGAGCAGATACTCGTACAGGTGTTGCACACACACACACACACACGCACACAAAGATACAGATACACAGATAGATATGCAAATTGATGGACTGCCAAAACACAGAAGATCGAAGACAGGCAGACAGAAAGAAGATCGGAGTGGAGTGGAGTGGAGTGGAGTGGGGAGTTGAGGGGCTGAGGCTGGGACTTCTGTTTCGCTGATTAAAAAAATATGAAACGAAATTCATTTGGCACTTTACTTAGCCATCATTAGCGTAAGCCACGCTCTTTCTACTCTTTCTTCATTTCTCCACTCTTTGTCTGCCTTTTCAACACATTTTTTGGTTAGAAAGCTTTGCTCTGGAGCAACAGAGACAAGCCACGAGCGAGAAAGAGCGGCGGAGCGGAGGGTGATATACAAAAATAATAGATGATTTTATGGTTTATCTGCTGTAAGCTGAACATCTTTATGGGCGCCACATAAAAAAGCGTTTTGGGTCAAAGTTTGTAAATTATTTGATTTGGTTTGTGCACTGTGAGAATCTCCACGGGTATGATAATTATTTAACAGGTGTTGAAATTTTTGTTACTATTTCTTAGAATCTTTTGGAGCTGCTTAAAACTTACGGAAATATTTTTATTTATTAATTATTTATTAAATTCCAATTTGTATACAAAAATATCTTCAATGATTTTGTTTTTCTCACAGTGCATTATGAAAGCGCCTGACAAAAACGCCCAGCATAGTTTATGGTTCCACTAGTAAGAATAAACGAGTATAAAAAATATATATTATACGATCGAGCCACGGGCATGGGAATGAATGGTGTCCCCCTGTAGTGAGTTGGGGCGTTTTTATTATTATCGATTTCTGTTGATGGAGTTTGCCCAGCTGTAAACAATCAACAGATAAACTAGAAACGAGAAACACAGCAATACTCGCAGCCACACAGAACTCGAAACTGAAACCGAAACAGCCGAACAGCCGAACAGCCATGAGCTACCGTTTTGCTTCTATGTCAAGATCAGTGGAGTACGGTAGAGTGGCGTGGAGTGGCGGGAATGGAGATGCTAACGATGGCTCTGTGGACCCGAGAGACCGACAGAACCGAAAGAAATCGAAATCGAACTCCAAAGTCGAATTCGAAGAGTTGTTACAGGCTTTGTGCTGCTGCTGCCCTTGCCGGCGGGGTGCGGCTACCAGCGAAGAGAATATGTTTTAGAGATTGCTGCTGCGCTTTCAGCCTCCCACCATCGCGATCTGTTAGGGTATCTGTGGCGTCGACCCACAGCATAGATCTCGGCATCTTTCTTGTTGTACTTTCACTTGTGCAAACACACACAAGAAGCGAGCCAAGAACGAAGCTGCCACAGAGGGTCATCAGCATCATTTGCTGGGATGGGATGGGATGATCATCATCATCATCATCATAATCACCTGCTGCTGCTGCTGCTGCTGGTGCTGCTGCGGCTGGCTGTTGGCTGTTGGCTGCTGGGTTACAAGCGGCTCGGTGTCTTCAGTAGCCAGCCAAGTGGCAAGCCAGGCGGTCTCTCTCCTCTCTCACTCTCTCTCTCGGCTTAGAAAATTCTTCTGCGGTCTGTGGCCTTCGTGTGTCTTGTGTGTTTGTATTCTGCATGCCTGGCAGTCACGTGTCCCGGCGGCAGACCTTGCCCGGTGCTCTGGTGCTGCTCATTGCCGGGCTGCTGCTCCTCGGCGATGGCACTGCCGTGCAGGGCTTCCACCGCCATAGCATCATGATGAAGACCTTTCGCTATCTGCAAGAGACAATGCTGAGGAACAGCCTGGAGCGGGCCCATCTCAATCACGGCATTGTCTTTGAGTGCCGCACCATGTAAGTCGCAGTGGCCCAGCCCAGCCCAGCCCTCGCTTGGAAACAGATTGATGATTGATTTCCCCCGCAGCTCGGACAGGGACTTTGGCAACGAGGTGCACTTCCTGCTGCAGCTGGGAGATCTGCGGGGATTCCGACAGCTGGATGCCAACAAGAAGTTGGCCCTCTTCCTGCATGGCTGGAACGACAAGGGCAGCAAGGACTGGGTGCAGGAGCTGTTGCTGAGTAAGGCCACTTGGGGGTGTTTCCTCTATCTTTTTGGGACTCTACTGCTCACTCTTCTTCTCTTTCTGCTGCCCATCCCATCCCCGCCACAGCATGGACTCTTTTCGATGCCAGCTACAACGTGTGCGTCGTGGACTGGGGCAACTTGTCGCAGAACGACTACAAGAGCGCTTCCATGTCCATCTTCGATGTGGGCCTCACGGTGGCCGGAATCATCATGGCCCTGGAGGAGCTGCGTCCCAGCCAGTTCCATCGCCGCAACGTCACCCTGGCCGGCTACAGTCTGGGGGCCCATGCCGCCGGCTATGCCGGAGCGGTGCTCGGGGGCCAGGTGGAGCAGATCATCGGCCTGGATCCGGCCGGGCCGCTCTTCTCGCTGCCCGCCGAGGTATCGCCCAAGTACCGCCTGGACCCCAGCGATGCCCAGTTCGTTCAGGTGCTGCACACCTCCGGCGGCTCGCTGGGCACGAGCCTCAAGTGCGGCCACGCCGACTTCTATCCCGAACGGCGGACGGGCACCTCAGACCAACTGCAAGATGTTCGCCAATCTGCGCGACATGCAGAACACAAGTGAGTGGAGTGGGGATCCCTGCAACCAGAAACCTGCCACCTGCAACCTGCAACCAGAAACCAGCAACAATTGTTTATTCTTCGCATTTATTATTTTTAGATCCCATTGCCTGCAGCCATTCGGCGGCCGCCATCTTCTTCCGGCAGTCGATGGACCCGCAGTACCCGTTCGTGGGCTACGAGTGCGGCAGCTATCGGGAGTTCGCCGCCGGATATTGCGACCAGAACCGTCGTGCCCGCTTCGGCATCCACTCGCAGCGGAGGGCGCAGGGCAGCTTCTACTTCAAGACCTCCTCCCAGCAGCCCTATGTGCAGCGGCGCCAGAACGGTTGGCTGAGCGGCGTGGGTCGCCAGATAGACTCCGCCTCTGGCGCCGCCAGCCAGCCGGGCAAGGCCGGTGGCCGCCTGATGCTGCGCCTCTGGACGAGCGGTTGGCGGCGGGGCGCCGCCAGTCGCGACCGGGAGCGGAGTCGGGCGCGGAGTCGAGAGCGCAGCCGACAGCGAGATCTGTGCCGGTGGCCGTAGTTCCTAGCGTTTAATTTATGTTTTTTTTTGTTAGTGTTATGTTTTGCAGTCAAATATATTTCCAGCCGAAAAGTATGTAAAAGAGAGAGAGAGAGAGAGTCGCAGGGATGAAATGCACTCGAAGCAAAACGAAGGCGAGAGCCGATGCGGGAAGAGAGAGTCAACGAAGCTGGACCCGGGAAGAGAGAGTCAACGAAGCCAGACCAAACAGAGTATTCTCTTGAATCGTAACCAACGAAGAGAGAGAGAGAGTAGCCGAAGCAGCTCAGCGCAAAGCACAAACTCTCTTCAGCCGTAAGTCGCGGCTGTGCAAGCAAGACGCGACTATCGTCAAGTGGTTGCTGCACTCCCGCAAGCCATATGTGGAACGATCTTCGGAGATCGCTGCGCCACCTTACAAGGCGTCTGTTTGTCTGTCTGATCACACGAAGAGAGCATCTTGGCCCGCGCTCTCGTTCTCTTCTGCGATTATCCAATAAGAGAACGATCTCTGTGCGCTAGCCTTACAGGACTGACTGACTACCCTGCCCGCCTGCCTGCCCGCCTGGCTGCTTTCGTTTCTTACTGCCCCGCGCCCCCCCCGCTGCTGGCCCGTAAATATTTCCGTTCAATTTGGCAGGCTCCGAAATTTCCTTTCATTCTGAATTGCATGTTGGCCAAAACGAAACACTCAACCACATCCCACACTGCCACTACACATGGCCAAGTCGTTGACTTGCAACAACGAGTGGGTGGAATGGGTGTGGGGTGGGTGTGGGTTGGATACACGCAGAAGTCGGGGCTGCATTTAACAGTTAATCGTAAAACAAAAATGAGAAAAAGCGAAGCGAAGGAGCAATAACAGGACAGGAACAGCAGCAGCAGCGAGCAACGTGCAACGTGCAACGAGCAACAAGAAACGAAAAACAATAAACTGAAATTCAATTTTCGCATTGTAAAACATAATTTTCTACAAAACTTGACGTCAGCTTGGCCCGCTTTTTGCGCTAAAAGGTAGTTAATATTTTTGCAGTCCATTGCTGGCCAGAATCTCCCATCTACCACCCCCTCGCCCACCCTATGCGCAGGGTATGTGCAACTTTGAAGGTAAGGTCTCCTATTTATATTTCGTTTTTAATTTTGTTGAATGCCTCACCTTTTGTTTTGCTTTCTGTTTTTGTTTTTGTTTTTTGTGCGAGTATGCGAGCACCGTGGCTCACCCTCTCTCTCTCTGCCCTGGCTTCAGTCTCCGCCATTTTCCGTTGTACATTCCACTCGAGTTGTTCTTGTTCTTGTTGCTCCTCCAGTTGCTGCTCCTCTGGCTGCACTGCTCCTCCTGTTCCTGCTGCTTCTGTTCCTGCTGCTCCTACTCCTCTGGCTGTTCCTGCTCCTCTGGCTTCCTCTGGCTCCCTCTTGTTCCTACTCCGGCTCTGCTTGTTGTTGCTCTGCCGGCTGCTTCCTGTTTTGTAGCTGTTTTTGAAATTTATGGCGCCGTCGTCGCTGCTGCCCCGTCGACTTCTCGCATGAGTTATGCGCTTTTTATTTCAGCTCCTGGCCACGTTAAGTGTTAAATTGTTTTATGCATGCATGTGCGGGACGCGGGTTGCGGGGCCGGGGCCGGGGCCGGGGCCGGGGTGTGCCCGCGATGGTGTCGGGGCCAAGCGGTGGCAAGAGGTGCACACACAGGGCCACTTCTAATAGGTGGTTCGGACTTGCCATTTAATTATGAAAGTTGATTCTCACAAAACATTTCAAGAGGCAGACAAAGAGCAGGAGCGAAGGGAGAGAGGAGTCCTGGAATGTGTAGCTCTCGAAATGAATTAAGGGAAAGAGATGTACACGTATGTACACATATGTATGTATGTATGTATATTTATGTTATTTTGATGGGTAGATAGGGCAATGGAAATGCAAGAGCTGTTTTTTTTTTTAAATTTATTTATTTAGGTTTTTATTTGCATTTTTTTGAGCACAGAAATAACACGATAAATGCTGCTTAAAGAGTCAACGGATTATTTATGTGCTATTAAACATAACTTAAAAACATAAATGATTTACTTTTTTAATTGAATTTAATTGGTTATTAATTTCACAGAATTAAAACTATTTATGCCATAAATATTCACGTACCACAGTGCAGGCATTTTTATGCACATTTTTTAACAATTTGCTGAAGAATCTTATTAATGAATTTTAATTAAAATTGAATGGTGCTTGCAACTGAATAAGCTAACAATTTTTAAAGTTTATTTTTGTATAAAGTTTTGTGGTAAATTCCATTGAAATTCGCCCTAAACCGTGACCCCCACCCCACCCACCCAACCTGACTGGTAATGGTAATGGCAATGTTTGTGTGTAATTTAGAATGTGTTTTTGGTGGTGCTTAATTTTCGGAACAAGTTGGCAGTCATCGGCTCGAGTGCAGACACGAATAGCAAACAAAGAGGAAAGCATAAAAAAGGCACTGAAAGCAAGGAAGGTGGGCAGGTGGGCAGGTGGGGTGGTGGGAGGACTGGGAGCAGGACTGCTGGTGGTGGAGCATAGAACAAGTAGTCATTTTTTCTACTGTTGACTCGAACCAACAAAGTGGCAAGCGTTAATGCGAAAATCATTCACACACACACACACACACTCACACTCAGTGGAAGAGAGGCAGAAGTTACAACGTAGCCAAAGAGAGAGAGAGAGGGAGAGCGTGAGCGAGGGGGGGGGCGATGGGAGCTTAAATCTAAAGCAAATTAACGTTTTAAACACCTCAAAAGTTTCGTGTTCTCAATGGCTCATTCCCTTCCTTCCTTCCTTCGCTCTCTCTCGCTCTGCGGCTGTCCCGCTCTTTCCTTCTGACTGTGCATATTCATTGCACCTGGCGTCGACGTCGTCCTGCTGCTGCTGCTGCTGCTGCTGCTGCTCCTACTCCTGCCGATCCTTGTGCAAAAGTTAAGTGTTTCTTTAGCTTAATAACGGAAACATTTTAGTTGCTGTTGGACGGGCAGGACCACGGGGCGGCTGAGCGATACGATAGACGCTTACACATAAACACATTCAAATGCTTCCGGCAATGTGTAATAGCTGTACAAGGACGAGCAGGTCCTGGGCTCCCAGCTCCCAGCTCCTAGCTCCTAGCTGCTAGCTCCGGACTCCTGCTCCTCTTGTCCTGGCTTCGAATGCCCTCCAGTGGCTGTAAATAACTCGCAGCAGGTGCCCCCGTCCGTACACCGTGCACCGTACACCGTGCACCGTGCCCCGTCTAAAGACGTCATCAATGTTGCCAGCAAGAAGGTGAAACACCACAGACAGACACAGAGGGCGAGAGAGTGTGTGTGTGTGTGTGTGTGTTGAGACAAACACTGGACTGGCGAAATGGAGCTGCAGCTTGCGGCAACGTTTTCTTTTGATTACACGCCGTGTGGTCTCCTCCATTGTTCACCCACACTCAGCCCCACTATCCCTACTGCCACCCACTGCCACCCACTGCCACCCACTGCCACTGTCTGTCCTGCCTGCCTGCGACTATCCTCCTCTTCCCCATAAGTGCAAATGAGCATGAAAGATGAAATATTAAGAGTCGTCTTGGACTTTGGTTTTTTGTCGGTCCGTGACTCCTTAGGGCTTCTCCGTCCTGCCTCCCTGCCACACTTCCCCTTCCCCTTCCTCACGCTGCAGTGCACTCATTTGGCCAAATGCAATTTTCGCTAAGAGCGCATATCCGCCAAAACAGACACAAAAAATGGCAACGGCCAGTGGCAGGCGGCAGGCAGCAGGCGGCAGGCAGCAGGCGGCAAAAACTTGGTCAAGTCAGCAAGTTACAGGCCAGCTACACTGCAAACAAAAAAGCAAGCGAAATATAGTTTTTGGGAAGTTTGTCAACATTTTTATAGCATAAAATCCAAGACCATCCAAGACCGTCAAATCTTGAGCAGCGCCCAAAAGTATGCACCGAGTTTCGTGCTCAGTGGAGTGTATCCGTGGCCCGTTCAACTCTTTTTTCTTTCGCTGGCTGGTCGTATCTCTTCTCTTGCTCTTTCTCTTGTGGCGCTGCATTCCCCAGTCGACCATCATGGGCCAGTGGCAACAACATTGCTGAGTGCAGCCCTCCTCCCTCTGTCACCTCTCTCTGTCTCTCCTCTGTGGCGTGCTGCAACATGGCCGGCGCTTGACAAAAGTTATGGGATATTCTCCCCCCCCCCCCCCTGCCGACCTTTCAGGACAGCATGATGTCCTGCTTGTAATTGCAGCATGTGTTGCTGCTGCCCCCTCCGCTACCCTGGCAAGATCTAAGGAGATGCAAGCGATAACCTGAGACGCAAGCACTTGATCGGCTTGGCATCTGACTCTCACAGTTGTCTATCCATCCTCTGTGGCATGCTGCTCTATGCTGCTGCTGGTCTCTCTCTCTCTCTGTCTCTCTCTTGTGACTGCGACACTAAAATATTGTGTTGCAGCCTTTGCCTGATTATCATTCTGCCATTCCAAAAGGCAGCAGTTTGCAGCCTGACCATTTGGACACCTGACCTTCCGCTGCTTCTCTCTTCGTCTCTCTTTATCTCTTTAGCTCTAGGCTTTGCTCTTGCTTTGTGCACTCGAGATGATTAAATTTCCGCGAGAGAGTAGAGAGAGAGGCACGGGGCGAGAGGGAGCTGCTAGGCAGCATTCAATTTCCAGTGCATACAATTTAGTTAATAACTTTTAAGCAAAGCGCCTCATAAACTCTCTGTCCGTTATTCTCTTCCCTGTCTCTCTCTCCCTCTCTCTTCTTTGGCTCTCTCTCTGACAGCACTCTTGGTGGGCTTTAACAAATGGCTAGCAATAAACTAAGCGCAGCAGATTAGGACTAGGTAGCCAGGGAAATGATTCTAAATGGAAGGAACGAAAGCACCCGCTTGGTGCTGGGGCATGCCGCAGACAATCCAATCCAAGTGACTGACTATCGATGAGTTTCGTTAACCGATAAACGAGCAAAGGGAAAACTGCTGAATTGCACTCGAAGAATTTCGACCATAATTAATTTAAGGTATGAGAAGAATGTCCTTCAAGTGACCATCTCTAAAACGCTTACATGCATTGCCATCTCCTTTCCATCTGCCCCATACGTATCTCTCTCTCTCTCTCTCTCTCTCTCTCTCTGCGTGTGTCCTGCCAGTTGATGTGTCCTGGCTCGGAGGATGCTTTTAACCAAACAACAACCGGGGATAACAGCAGCAGCAGCAGCAGCAGCAGCAACAAAAATGCTCCAACAACTTAAGCTTAGCAATGACAGTGGCGTGAAAGTGGCCAAAAGAGAGAGCGGCAAAAAGGGGTGTATGTGTGTGTTGGGCTACGAGGGAGGTGGGAGGGTGGGGAGGGGCGGCATATAGCGGATAAGCACAAAACCGGAGACAATGCGGAAAATTGTAAGACACTAAAATTGGCTAAAAGGACTCAACGGCCAAACGGGACACGGCAAGTAGTATGTTGATGCTGTGCCACCTCCACCCACCGCTCTCCACCACTGTGCTTGCAACACCTCCTTCTGCCACACAGCCGCACACAACTAAATCCTGCCCCCTGCTCCTTTCTTTGGGGGCTCTTTGAGGGAAGGAACTCATAAAAGTAAGCAACAAATTTCATTGTTTATAGCCAGGCTTCGGCTACATGTGTGTGTCTGTCTCTCTCTCTCTCTCTCTCCCTGTTTCTTCTCTTTCTCTTCACTCCTCTGCCACTGCCTCCGCCACTCCTTTTGTTTCCCTTTCTCCTGGTGTCTTTGTGTTTTGCAATTTGCTTGCCATAATGCCGGGCAATTTTGTGTTAGGCCGCCCCTGCCCTTTCGCCTGCTCCTGCCCCTGCCCCTGCCCCAGCTACTCGCGCAGCACTTACGCTTCTTCAGACCTCGACTTGTGCCTCCCATAAATAAAATTTAGTTTCACTTTCATCTGCCACTTTCACTTTCACTGGGCAAAACAGTTCTGGCAGCAAAGCGATGCTCCACTTCGGGCAAAAACTACTTTTGGGTATTTTTTATTGGGCGAATTTTGGCTGCTAATATTTTCAATGTTCTGCAAGCAAAAGGAACACACAAAAGGGAGTCTTCATTAAGGATCCACAAATGGCTGGGAATTTGTATCTAGTTCCGATGATGAGCCAGCCCGTTTGGAGATGATCCTTCAGTTCAAATCAGTTTCTGGCACCCTCGCAGCCAAGAGAATCCCCTCTCTCTCTTTCATTTTATTACAGCTCCTCTGGACTCCTTTCTGCTTTCCCCCCGCGTGGCTTAGCAAAGCGTGAAATTAAATTTGACTTGCTTCCAATATCATTTTCATTTTCATAGTTTTTCCCTACTGCAGGGAAGTGGCCGGAAAGGGGGTTTCCATTCTAATAATAATAAAACAAAACAAAAAACAGTGTGGCCAGCGAAACTACATACATACATACTCGTACATACAGACATACATATTTACATGCATAGTTTTTGGCAATTTTTTATGTTCCTGGAGTTTGGAAATTGTAAAGAAAAGGCAGCGTGCGGAAGCGTAACGAACATTTTTATCCATGGCCATGGATTTTTACTAGGCCCTAAAATTATATTTTCATTGTTATGTACCACCTCCCCCACCACCCAACGGACACGCCACCTTGCTTGCCCCCAAGCTGCCCTGCCACACGGCTCCCTCTAGTCTTCGTGCCACAAATCCTTCCGGTGGAAAGCGAAATGCCGCCCATTTGTGCTTTGTGCTGCGTGGCCAGCGCCGAGCGACTGAGCCCCGAGCTGCCGAGTGCCCATGTTTCGTGGGTCCTCCGATGCTCGGTCCTGTGGTGGATTTGCCGAGTGTGTGGTGTGTTTGCAGCGAGTGGAAGTGGGTGGAAGTGGGTGTGGGAAGCAACAGTTGGTCACTGGAAGGCCACCACTGGAAGTGAAGCATTGGCTAGTGGTTTGGGTGGGAGGAAAAAAAAGATTCTTGGGTGCCGACAATTTTTATTTGAACATAGAAACCCAAAATATGTATGTATGTGTGTATGTTTGTGTACATGGGATCATATGAAATTTTTACTGTTGCTGCGTGTTCGACTGCGACCCGGAATCAGAGTCTGTGCCCGATGAGTCCGAGTCCTTTGGAGCTTCCCAGTAGATGGAGCAGAGATGCTGGTGTGGAACCTTGACGATGCCCACAGGGAACTCCTTCTCGCTCCATGTATTGTAGAAGACAATCGCGCAGCAATGGCTCAGAATAAGTTCGCCTTTGGCCGTCAGCATTTCCAGTTTGCCAAAAATCCTCCCCTGGTCACCATTTTTACCGAGCAAAGCAAGCTCAATCATTTCGCCAAAAAATGGCAAAATATTCAAATAACCCAAGCCAAAGCTCTCGGCAACGACCTCAACATGTTCGGGGACGTTGGGAATAATTTCGTATAGGGGCGCATATAGCGGATTATTCTCATTTTGGACTGTCATTTTGTATAGCTGCAAGGCAATAAAAAGAATATAAAATATTTAATTATTAATTAATTATTATTTTATTATGTATATTATTATTATATTAATAATTAATAATTATGTAATTATTTTAATAATAATTAATAATTATAATAAAAATAAAATTAATAATTATTATTAATTATTATCTAATAATATATATTATTATTATTATATTAATAATTATATATATTTTATATATATTAATACTAATTAATAATTATAATAAAAAGTATATTAAGAATTATTATTAATGTTTCTTTTATTATATATTATTATTATATTAATAATTATATAGTACATATATTTAAATATATTAATAATTATAATAAAAATATTAATAATTATTATTAATTAATTATTATTTTATTAATAACTATTAATTATGGTTAGAGCTAGTAGAGTTTAATTACCTTTTTGTTTTAAGAGCTAAGCAAAAATGTACGCTGGATGCACACCGAAAGGTTCCTTCGCGTATGCGCCTGAACTGTTGGCATTTGTTTAGTGTTGGTAGTAAGCGAAAATGTAATAATTAAACACAATAGTAACCTTATTTTTGAGAGTTAAATTAAGCAACTATTTTGTGTATCTCCAATACACACACACTGAAACATTACTGACTGTGCCTGTCTGTTTTCAATGACAGCAACAGAAACTGTCATTCCACTAAGAATATGGCCTGGCATGATTTTCAATATATGTATACGAGTATATTTGGCCACTAGCTACACATCTTTCTGGCATCCAGGCATCCAGTCATCATTCACACACATTTCAGAGCCTAAATAATTCCACAAACTAAATCGAAACCGAAACTAAATCTAAGTACGTGTGGGGGTAAGTTAATAGGAGCTCTCTGTATTCTCACACAATTATCTCTCACACTTGCATTCAGATTAGCAGTTTGGCAGCTTAGCAGAATGGCAATTGGCATAACGGAAACCGAATGGGGAGCAATCTATTCATTGGGGCCATGGCTGGGCAGCTGGGTGAAGGTGACCCTGCAGGATGGCACACTGCTCATTGGGCGCTTTGAGGCCGCCGTGCCGCTGGTCAAAGTGCTGCTGAGCAATTGCGTTCAGATTGTGGTGGGATCTGTAGCCCCGCCCATGTTCCTGGGCAGCGTCCCAGTGTCCATGCAGAATGTGCTGTCAATTGATGTGATTGTTAAGGATTAAATTTAAATGTACAAATAAATGCACGACCCAGACAAAGACAAAGACAAAGCCAAAGCCAAAGCCAAAGAGAAAAATTGAATGAAGTCTGAATGGATATTCCGCATTTGTATTAGTTTTGATTGCCTGTGAGCACAAAACCATTTTCACTTGTCTTGCGGCAATGCACATTTGACATCTGTTTTCCCAGGCGAAGATTTCTCTCTGGCCAACAAACAGCCAACAAATTCTTTTGGCTAATTCACCTTTTTTGCTGTTGGTAAAGGCCCAATTAAATGCAAATTTGCTAAATATCAAATTTTATTGTCAGCATGAGTATTTTGGACAGCTTTCTGCCTGCCACACGCTGGGATACATTTTATTTAACACAAAAAACCACAGTTCGAGTGCCAACAGCGGCGCACCGAAGATGAAATGCTCTAGAGAAATAGAAAAATATGCGAGTATTTTTTAATCAATTAGCATTGGCGCGGATATGCTTGCAAGGCTCAGATCTATCTCGATTTTGCCATTGTTCGAAAGCACCTTTGGCGCCTGCAGATCCGTGCTGAACCGCAGCCCAGTCTGTGCTACGATGTCTTGGATGCTGACACGATAGTCGCACAACTTCTCAAATGTTTCTGTGCACCCATTTCGGATGATATATGCCTCAAGGGTTGGCTCCACGGTCGGGGGTTCGGGTGCCATGGGCCCCTGTGACTCCTCAACGATCAACACCTTGAAGTAGTGCGAGGGCACTGGCACTGGCACTGTAGTATCTGCACACTGCCTGTACTCCAGCCAACACTTATTGCTGGCATTGTTTTTCGGTGCGTAAATGGGACCCGTGTAGGCATACACCGATCCGCACTGCTGCACCTTCCACTTCACATACTGCTCCAGCTTCTGCCAGATGGGCCGCGTGAACACCCTGCCAACATCTGCGGCGGCCGTGCTCAGCAAGAAGACATCGTCGTATCGAAGATACTGGGACGACTCATCTGGCATTGATCCGCTGCGAAAGTGTTCGCATATCCACGTGGCGCTGTTCGTCTCAATGCCCCGCGACATTATATAGTCCTTGTGCACCAATAAATTTTCGGCACTGGGCAAGCCGTACTTGAGCAGATCCATCATATTCGGCATGGGAGGCTCTTCCACTTCCTCCAGCGGCTTTGGCACAAAATATTTGAATATTGGTGCGACTAGGAACTGGCATATCTTGTCCTTCAGCCCAACCGAGCGATTCCACAGTCTAGTCTCGTGCTCAGTGCTGAAGGTTGAGAGCTGTTGAGGAGGGTTTGGGGTTGGTGGTTGGAGGGGCACAAGATTTATTTTTTTTATTTACGTACCACAGGATAAAACTTCTGACGATTGAGATACACATACGGATCCCGCTTGACCGCATCGAATAGATTCTTGATGGACAACTCCTGCTGCAGAAGGGCACCGCAAACGAAGCCCGTCGCCCCAAACAATGCGTACATAGCGATATATTGCGGTTCTGTCATGGTTTTTGTCTTTAATTGTTTACCAATTAATATAAATAATGTCAAAAGCCCGTATTAACCGTCGTTTATTTCGGAGTGTGTGTAGTTTTCAAATATATAGTTGGAGATCCTATTTGATTGTGATGAGGTTTACTTGTATTTGCCTTGAATATATATTAGAAAAACAAAGACTACTGTTGCTCGGAGAAACCTGAATATTGGACACTGGTAAATTCCCTTTGATTCCTTCAGACAATCTCTCTCCTCTCTCTCTCTCTTGCAGGCTCCCTCAATTGAACGAGCTGCAGCTGTAACAGAGCAACAGCGCTGTTAATGGATCATGTTACCGCTCTCGAGCAGCACTCTTTGTTAACAGCCTTTGTTACAGCGCACTGTTAACCTCTCTCTGAGACCTTCCAAGCTGATGTTACTTACTTACCAATACCTAATATGATCAGCGGTATGTATAATCCGCTTGTATTTACATGCATCACACCACGCTACTGTTCAGTCGGAGCACAACTTTGCGCACCCCCCCAGCCAACTGCTACAGACTGAGCCAAAGCTTCCTTCTGTTGGGTTACAAACTTCAACACAATTTGAATATACCCTCGGCAAAGGTATACAAATTTGGCATAAAATATATATAAGATGCAGAAGACGAGACGAAACAAAATGAAAGCGACAAAAAGCACACGGAGAGAGATGGAAGCAAAATGTTTGCTGCTGGACAATGCGATACAATTTCAAATCTAACAAAAATAGTGCAACACAAAAAAGTTGCATTTCTATTTGATTTTGCTTACGCTCTCGACTTTGGCTCACTTTTATTTTTGCTAGTTGTTTTTGCAAAATTAATATATTTAAAATATGCAAAAATATTGGGGTATAAACTCCTCAACACAGAGAGAGAAATAGAGAAATAGAGAGGGAGAGACAGAGAGATGGTTGGGTTGGGTTGGGTTGGGTTGGAATGGGGTGAGGTGAGGTGAGGTGGAGTGGATGTAGAGGTGGTTATATAACAATAATATGAAAAAGGCCGACAAAATACTTTAACAAATACCAAAAACCGACATTTTACCAACTGCATATTACGTTATGCATATTTCATTTATGCCCAAAACAAATACACAATGCAGGACCCACAGGGACTCCGGCCGCACCAAGGGGATTGCATGGCTTTGCCCGGTTCCGACGGAGTATTCACGGCTCGAACTAAAAACTTCGGATACTCTACGTGGCAGATCTCCGAGGTTAAATCTCATTACTCAGAACTTTTTTGCATTCACCCAATTAATGTGGTGAAACCTCTGTAGATCCTATTGATCTTTGAACAAATTTCTGGGATTATTCTGTGGTGCATAAGAATCAATGATTCATTCTAAACCATGCGGCATATGCACCCAAACTTGTGCAGGGCATACGGGCATTGCATCTGCATCTGTCGGCATTTTTGCATTTAATGCCATAAAAGTTTATCTGCAAATGTGTCGCTGGGAGGCATGGTGTGTGTGGGGAATTGCTACTTTTATTTTCAGTATTTTAATTAAATAAAAATTTATTTGTTTACACACACAGACGGACAAAACGGACAAAACGGACAGAAAGACAGATGGACACACCGACAGAGAGACAGAGAGTCAGGGACAGAAGGCGAATCAACGAACTTAATTGAGACCATTTTGTGCAATTTTGCTCTCGTTTACATTTCTCCAACTTCACTCTCGACTCGACTCGACTGGACTCGACTCGACTCGACTCGGCTCGACTACGTCCACACTTTACTTAATTAATCACACAAAAAATGGGGTGATGGCAGGATGAAAGCAAAGCGCCTGGAAAGGCGGGAAAAACATGTAAATTGGTTAAGGAATTTATCGCACATTTTATGGTATATGGTAGGAATCCTTTGGCTGGCACTTTACACTTTACTTTCAGTTTCAAATGGAGCAAAGAAACAGCTTCTTAGTCTCTGCACTCAGATGTACTGTTTTACTTCTATAGAATCCGCATGCATTCCACTTACAGCCGCAAAATTTCTCTGGAAATTCGCCTCAGAGCTTAGAGCGGTTCATAGCGGGGTATATTGTGACCAGGTTATACCCCGTTTTAAATACAGGGCAGCCAACAGGTCGATCCACTCACGTGGCGCATTCTGTAAATTCAAACCACTTTTGTTCCGGTTTTTAAATGTCAGGCCAAAACTTACAATTCGAGCACATTTCCGGAGTGCAAATGTTTCTTTTTTTAATTTTATTTATAATTTTTTTTTACCGTGGGCTTATGGTTTCTTTTTTCGCTTCTTTTTCGCTATGATAAACATATCAAAAAATGTTTAGTTTTATCCGAAAATAAATTGCAAAAAATGTCACCCTAACAGAGGCTGGGTATTGCTATTTTGAGGAGACTTCCGCTACAGCAGCACGTAAATTTTTCTTAATTTTAATACATTTATTTGCAGGACTTATTCAAATCGATTTCTTGTATCGCATTGAACGAGGGAGAATACGGAATTACGGAGTAGTGTTCAGTTAGTGTTCCAAATATGTTGCGGTGGTATAAAAATACAAGTGTAGTGTCTAGTCCGGGTGAGGGCGTTTGAGGGGGTTTTTGGGGTATATGCATTGGATAATAGATGAATGTGGCACCTTTACGGTGCCGTGGTAGTCCACCACAGTGTTGGTGGCTATTTCTACAGCGTCCTCCATCACCACGTCGCCGGTGAATGTCTCCTTGACGGCCTTGCCTTGAAGGAAGCGCCTAACGCCCTCTACGTTTGATGGTATCTCGAGCTTCACATATGGTTTGTCCGGAAACTTTCCCGTGTCAGGATCGTCGGGGACGCTTGTGAGAACCTCAAAATCCATGGTCTCTATCTGTAACAACAGAATGAAATTATTCCACGGGTTCGCAAGCTTTCACTTGTGTTTATACACGCACTTTGCAGAAGAGTTTGCGACACAATGAATGAAATTTTTACGGTTTTCGCCCGAGTAGCTTCTATTTTGTTGAGCTGTAAATTTGTTCTGTTCTCGAACAGGTTGAGATTGACTGACAAAATAATACAAATACAAAACCTATGTAGACTTCTTATCAAATGAATACAGATCGGAAAGGAATGAACAGTAATTCACAGATTACTCAAAAGTCTCGGATACTTTAATGTAGAGCTGCAAAAACATCGAGCCACTATCGATAGTATCGATGGCGCCATCACTGATTCGACTATCGGGGTTTTTGTTTCCGATAGTTCGATAGTGGTAAAAGTGAGAAACGCAGAGCTACATCCCGATTTAGATGCAGAGCCTGTCGTCATGCCAAAAAATGTAACTAAGCACAAATTTATTTCTTATATATAAGCCAGATAATGTTTTGTTTTTACTTTTTTAGAGCAAATATGTGGTAAAATTGGATGTGTGCAACGGAGAGATGTGAGCGACCCCATAAAGTACAAATATTCTTGATCAGCATCAATAGCCGGTTCGATATCGACATTTACGTATGCTTTTCCAAAAGAAATTGCGGCTCGGCAGCTCATGTCCTTCTTCTATAGCACTTCCAAACGATTAAGCAGCGGAAAAGCAAGACCCTTCGTTCTAAAACTTTCCTCGTTGTTTTCGGGCACATCGTATTCCCGAACGGCTTTTTCAAAAGAATAACGTAAATAGTTTTACTTAAAACTTTGGTTGGATTTAGCAGAAGCAGTCACAATCACAAACCCCAAACACCAATGTTTTTAAAACAGATATCCATTCTTATATCTCCTCTCAGTCAATGTTGGCCTCATCATCATTATCCGTGGCCAGCAACATGATTAGCATGTGCAGGAAAATATTTAGGCTATTAAATTTGCTTAACAATATTTTTTGTTTAAATCTTACATCCCGATATATCATCACTATCGATAAGCATTGATGTTTTTGCAGCTCTACTTAAATGTGTACATCTTGGACATGGGAAGGGCATCTACTAGTGCTTCAACATTAATAATAGCTTTTGTTTCATCTTTTGTTGGCACTTCTGTCATTTTTGCAGTATCACAGAAAATGAAAATGAAAATAAAAACTATCACACGAAGAGAGAGGGGGCCTGGCTGTGGGGGTCTCTGGCTCTGTGTTTGATGGTGTTATCGCTGGCGTTGTTTTTTAGTCGTTGCTTCTGACAAAACGTTTCAATTAGTGCGATTATTACATAAGGCAACAAAAGCAACAAACCCAAAATCGTTTTTGTCGCCTGCAATTTGTTTCGTTTGTTTCGCTCGCTTCCCCTCCTCAACGCCCCTTTCTTTCGACCGTTTTGTAAGTGCTTCAGTGTTTATTTGTTAGCCGTTTGACGTTTATAACTCACTTTACCTTCTCATAGAGTGAGTCTCTCTGGTCGAGGAAGACCATATAGATATGTACTTATGTACCTATGTATGTAGATGTACTGTAGATGCCTTTGCATTGTTAATTGTTGGGATCGGTGACAGCTAGGAACTTTCGGACGAAGGAGGAAAATCACCTGACACCATTTGGCCGTGTATGAAGACCATTCAGCAGACATACCATACGTACATATGTATGTACGCATGCGATTATGTTTTTCTTTGGCCCAAGAATTAGGAATGCGTGTCTGGGGCGCATCAGGGACCCCCTGATCTCTGATCTCTGGATATGCTTTTGCTGAGCATTGTACTTGTATGCATAACATTACACTGCTGGCGGATCTGCTGCTGGCTCTGCTGGCGGATCTGCTGCTGACTCTGCTGCTGGCTCTTATGCAATGCAGCAGCAGCAGGCAGCACTCTCTTACAGCCGCCACCTCTGCAGCACTTGCAGCTTGTGCCGTTTGCAGCGCCTACTCTGCCAGCCGGCTCTCTGACGAGAGCTTTGGGCTTGGAGTTGCTCTCCCGCTGCCTCTGTCGCTGCTAACGTCTCTGCCTGCAGTTTGAAGCTCGACTTGGCACAGTGGGCATGTCTGGCATTGCGGCAGTGAGAAAAACACATTGACGTGGGGCTCGGTGGGGCTTTCATGTATTGTGTACACAAGATTTTCACCTACTAGTATTAAGGATTACTTTTCTACTAATTTGCATTGATTTTGAATATGTTGTTGTTGTTCGGTATGGCTTTTATCTATGGCTGACAGGCGGACGGCATCCACTGTGCCGCAGTCCGGTTCGGGCCGCCCCGCCTTGCGCTGCCTCGGTCGATATCGGCTCGGCGCTGAAGCCGCTGCTGGCAACTACAAACTTACATAGCATTTTTTTGTGTAGCTTATTTTTGAAGTTTAAACAATTTGGCCGCCGCTTAGTTCTCTTTCGCGTGCGCCAAAACCCAGTAACCAGGTAGTCCGGCCAAAAAATATTTTCCAAACGCGGCGCCACGACAATTTCGTTATAGAACTGTTTTCGATTCAAAAGATTCAAATAAGGTTTCAGTTTCGATATCGGTTTCCTGCGAGTGATATTGATTTATTTTTTGTTCGATTGCGTTTTCGGTTGATATCGAGTGCTATAGATCCACTTTCGATTTGGGTTGCCCTCGAGGTATTGTGCATCCCTTTCCGAACTGATTGATTGATTGATTGACCGATTGATTAGCGAGCCGCGTGAAAGTGAGTTTCAGTGTTTGCCTTTAACATTTACATTGCTGGTACTTTTTGTGTGATTTTTGTGCTTCTTGTGTTGCATTCCGAATTATGTACAAATATTTTTGGAAATATTTTTTCAACGTCCATTTTTTTTATGTGGCTGTGTGTTGGGCAACCGCTGTAAAGCCGTTAACCCCTGACTGACCCTCCACAACAATTGGGCAAGAGTGCGTGTGCCGAAACGGAATATGTTTTTTTTTGGCAACTCAAAAATTCACTCGAAACTAAATTTGTATCTATAAACTCAACTACTACCCCATACATACATAAGTTATGCGAAGAACACTTCTTTTGATTATCCAGAAAATCAAATCAAAAAAAATGTTTCTCGCTTCGAAGTAAGTTTTGCAGCATTCAATAAACCAGTAATGGGATTTAATAAATTCGGTCTTGACCCCAGCAACACGATGGGAATGCATTTTTCTTAGAGATCAGGTTTTGCTTGGTCCAGTTCGGGGCCAGACAGGTGCGCCGCGATACCGCCGTGTATCATGGGAAATTTCAACAAAATCCATCGAAATCTCCAACGGCCTTGAGATCCAAACAAATGCGTAAAGATAAACAAAAACAAAATTCCGACCAAAATCCACACAGAAATAAGCAAATAAATAAAAATGTTAAAAAGGTTGATTTTTGGCGGATTCCGAATCGGTTTCGAATGGGTCTCTCGTTTGCTTAAGAAGGCCGATGGATGACGGAGGGAGGGGCGGCGAGACGCCGAGACTGAAACTGAAACCAAAACCGAGACGGCGACGGCGACGCATGCGCAGCGGAGTGTAAACAATTTTGACCCAATTGCCGAGCTCCACTTGCCTCACCGCTCCCCTCAGACCACTCAGGCTGTGGCAGATTGACGCGTTCGTGTTCGCCTTCACAGCTTATGCAGCTGCCCAAACGTGCCCCCGGCTGCCCCCAACTGCCCCCAACTGCAGTCGATTATGCAACGCTAAAAAGATGAAAGATGCAACAGGCAATTTGTGCAAATTGATAGAGCTGACATCATGAGAAGCAGCTCAAAGGGAGAGACTGAAAGACTGAAAGAGCGAACAAAATTCTGGGAGAACATAATTTTTAAGGCAATGATTAACCCACATTGCAGTCTATTTCCTCCAAGCCAATTTAAGCCAATTACCAACTAAATGCCGCTAAGAAGCTCCCACATACTGTCCCCCAAAAGCTGGCCAATAATAGTTTCAATTGCTGAAGTCGCCAATTGACTGCTAATCAAAGCGCAACGAAAACCTGGCCAAAAGCAGAAAACAACAGCCAATCGACCCTCGGGCCATCAATTACCACCTGTCAATGTTGGATCCGTCTTGCCGGCTACCATTTAGGGCCTGCTCCGACCAATTGGCCCAAAGAATTTGGTCAAAATTAATGAAGAAAACCGCCAAAAACTTACAGAGTTGGGCAAGACCCATGCGCGACCTTGATGGCTTGGGGTTTTTTGTTTGTTTGTTTGTTTTATTTTGTTTGTATGAAAGTCAAGGTCGAGTTTTGTGTTTTATATTGTATACCCATTTGAGTATTATCGCTGATAGTTTCAATACCCTTGCAAAGGTAAGAGCCCAATCGCTTAGATGTTTGCCCAAGGGAGCGGGAAGCAAACCTGATTTTTATTAGAGGGAAGGAAGCCTCAAGAAGGGCTCACTTTATCATACACAACCGTACATACATACATATGTATGTGTGTTTCCCAATAGCTCCGCTAAATCTGCAAGTGTATCTCAAGCTTCGGTCATTGATAGTTTTTTTTTTTTGTTGCCAGTTGACTAGCATTTGCTGAGGGGCCTTTATTTTTTGTTTTTGATTACATTTTGAGGGTTCATTTTAATTGTTTTTGTCTATTGAATTTTGCGACAATCATTGTGGCGGGGGAGGGGCACAAATTGATGAGCCACGACGAATGAGGAATTATTTCCCGTGTGCAGTGCATGCGTAAGTGTGAGTGCAAGTAAGCGTAGGTTAGGAATTATTCAAACTCTGGCAAAAAGAAGTGTTTCGGGTATATAAACTGGACTATGGCTGCGCGCGGCACCTTAACGATTCCGCGGTAGTGGAGCACAGTTTTAGCAGTCATTTCCACAGCGTCCTCCATCACCACATCGCCGGTGAATGTCTGCTTGACGGCCACGCCGTGCAGAAAGCGACGGACACCCTCCACGACGGCTGGTATTTCCAGCTTCAAGTAACGTGACTGGCCGACAAACCTTCCCGTGTCCGGATCGTCGGGGACGCTTGTGAGAACTTCAAAACCAATCATCTCCATCTGTAATAGGAGAATGAAATACGTCAACCAACCAATACGCACTTTGCAGAAGATTGAATACAATCTTCCCGATTTTCTATTTTGCTTAGCTGAAATTCGTTCTGTTCTCGAACAGGTTGAGATTGACTGACAAAATAATACAAATACAAAACCTATGTAGACTTGTTGTCAAAAGAATACAGTTCGGAAAGGAATGAACAATAATTTATTTTCTGCGAATTGCTTACACATTACCCAAGAGTCTGTAAAACTCGTACTTTAATGTGTTTCTATGTTAAATCTTTCATTTAACGACAAATGGATACTCTTCATAATACTCTTGTTTCATCTTTTGTTGGCACTTCTTTCATTTTTGCAGTTTCACAGAAAATGAAAATAAAAACTATTACTCGAAGGCTGTAGGGGGTCTCTCTCTCTGTTTATTGGCGAATTAAATTCTTCAATCAATGGGCAAGTTCCCAACGGTGTTTATACACTTACTGAACATGAAATTATAGCTCAAAAGTTAACTTAAAAATTAACTTTTCCGAATGTACGGCATGTCCTTACCTGTTCTTCGGTTTTCATAGACATTTCAGTTTCAATGGACTTCTCTTCGCGGTAAGGGTAGCAGGGCGAGTGTTTTGCTCTATCCGTGGGAACGCGGCAGTTGCAACAGCAGAATTATCCGTTCGCTTCATAAATGGGAAATCTAGTGACCAACAAATGTATTTATGCAGCTGCGGTAAAACTAGAAGCAGCAAGCAATAGGGTCAACAAAAATATCAGCAAAGGAAAGAAAAATTAAAAAAAAAAAATAGAGAAAGTTCCTTTGCGAAAGTCGGAGCCATAGATACGCTTTGCAGATATGAATTTCAAGGGCAAGGCTTTATTTTCATCTGGAATTTATACACTTTTCCGGACTACAAACTTTTGCTTGTAATATACACGCAGAAGCAGGTTCTTTTTTTCTTCTGGGCGTTTTAACTTAAAGACTCCGCCATATTCCGGCAATGCCCACTCTCTCTCTCTCTCCCTCTCTCTCTATATCAATATGTACGAGTATGTTTTATTTATTGACTCTCTTTTGGACTCCCTGAACGGCAGGATGCCGCCTTTTGAAAGTTGGCACGTAGTCTTGGCCAAGAAGCAGCAACAGAGGCAACGGGAGAGTCGGCCGCATAAAATGTACCAAGACGATGGGGCGTATACGTACAATATGAATTATGAGCCCGACTCGACGATCACGTAGCCGCCTCCCCCATGGCTCTGGGTGTTCTTGGTCCTCCCTCATTGCTCTATGTTTCCCCCTATCCACTCTGAATTTTCCTGTGAAGTAATGTTAATGCCAAACAATTAAATACGGGGGAAGAGGAACACCCCAACCCCAACCCCAACCCCAACCCCTGCCCTTCCACCACGATTGCAAATTTAATTACAACTGTAAACAATTTTCTCTGGCCACCCCCTCTGTGCGCACCCCACCACCCCTCAAAAGAGACACAAACAAAACAGTTTTTCCTTTTGTTTTTTATGATATTTTTCCTTTCCATTTGTGTGTGTGTGTGTGTGTGTGTGTGTGTTTGTGTGTGCGGCCATTAGCAGGGGCCAAAACTAAAGGGAAAACTGCAATGGCATACTGAGGAGTGTGGGCAGGGCTGGTACGCGCTGAGAAAAGCAATTTTCCGGTTGAGTTTACAAATGGCGGGCGCGGTACCGTACCGTCGCGTCGCTTCCCCGTCCCTGCGTACCCGGTTGCCCCGGTTCCGGCGCTGAAAATAAATGACATATCACAGAGTCTGGTCACCTTTATGGGATGCCCAAAGTAAACATATGAAAGCAATGCTCAGCTGAACGGTCACACCGGGGGTGGGGTGGGTGGAAATATGGTATGGATGGAGTACAGGGGGTGTTTGTTGATGGTTTTTCCAGTTCAGCTGTGAAAGTGGTTCAGGTTCGAAAGAGGTTTGGCTGGAATACGGATTCGAGAGTCAGTTTATTCGATCTGTGGAATATATGGAGCATATATTTTGAATAAAATATAGTTTAGGATGTTAACGATCTCTATTCCTCTCTCTCAACCCTTATCTATTCTCTGCCTCTCTTGTTTGCATTTCAAAGATACATATGTATGCCTACCCTGCCCTGCCCTGCCCGGCCCCCGCCAGATATCAATAAATGGGGTTCCCTTTCATTTGCAGGCAACTCTCGTATCCCTGGTCGGTATATCGTTGTTTACACTCACACACACACACACACACACCCCCCCCCCCCCCACACACACACACACACTGAGAGATACGCACACACGAGGACAGTTATGAATGGCAATCCATTCGCTTAATGGAATTTCGTGTTGTTTAACTTTTACGTGGCGCCAAAGTCATGGAAGCGAATGGATGGTAGCCCCTACCTCCCTCCCCCCCTCTATGACACACACACACATGTGTTTTTGGGGCGTCCTTGGCAGCTGTTTGCGGGTTAACTTGGGGTCACCCTTTCCCACCCTCCGACCCATCGCAAAACCCACCGCATAGAACATCGTCATAAAGCTTTATTAGCATTTATTATGCAAGACTTCTGTTGGGTCAAGTTTCTGTCTGTGTTTTAGTTTTACGATCACTTCCACCTCGACACCTGGCCCACCCCCCGCCCCATCACACTGTAGCCTCTTGGCCATGTTTTAATTTCAATAAACGCACATTTTATGACTCCCAGGTTTACGGCCACCTCAGGCCTCAGGTTTTTGGCCCGAGTTGGATTTATTTACCTTCCATTTCATGACGAGTTTTGCAAATGCGAAGGCCAAGCTTAAAACTCAACGAAAGGAATCTATTGGGGGGAGGACAGGCAATGCTGTCTATGGGTGTGTAATCTACTCAAATTTCGCAAAATATAATGCCATTATTTGGCAAAAGAAATACAAATTCTGAATTTAAATATTGGCCGTTCTTTGCTTTTCCAATACAAGTAACACAAACAAAATCGTAGCATACTTTCAGGCTTGATCCATTAAAGAAATGTACAAATCCAAGCATGTAGATGTAGATGTACATGTCGATATTTGTTACCATTAAGCCGCTGCAGTATTCATTCTCAGGTTCCCCACTAAGTATTTCGAAGGTGTCCAAACTTCTGTGGGAGACTGTCTATTCTCATCTACATAATATACGGCAGATGATTTCCTGATTAGAATAACTCTTGTGGGGGAGACTGTTCCAGTGGTTGAGTGTCCAATAATCTCGGCCGGACCCTATACCATAACCATTTTACAATCTCTTTTCGTCACCCATATGTAGGTGGGTTTTAGGTGTAGCATAAATTTTGTGGGAGACCGCCCATGGGGGCTACACACACACAAATCGCTGCCGACTTCGCTGCTGGCAGCGCAGCCGACGCGTCGACCACATATCGAGGACATTTAAATCGCTCTTAAGTCCCGTTTAATTGGTACTTAGCATGCAAATGCGAAATGAGGCAGAGATCCCAGGCAGCAATTGTCGCGCTCCCTCTCTCCCTCTCATGTCCATGTCTATGTCTCTCACTCTCACTCTCACTCTCAATCTCTTTGTCTCATTTTGTGTGCTTATGCATGCTTGTGAGCACACGCTCGACTGTGTGTATCATTAGTTACATACATACATGACACCCTTGCATTTGCCTTGGCTATTATGACTTTGACCACATATTTGCAGCATTAAGTTCTTGCTCAGAGAGCAAAGAGAGCGACTTAATTGACAGTTTAACATGTCACACTCTGGTTATTGGCACGATTCACATTGCAACAATTGATCTGGAAGGGTATAAAAAGGTCGACTCCGAGACACATAACTGTGTGTTATCTTCCGTTCCCCCCTCTTGCATTTCTAGTCACTTTGCCCATCTTATGTGCAATTGTACTTACTCACGCAAACAGTGTGAGAGAGAGAGAGAGAGAGAGAGAGAGGCGGAGAGAGAGCTTGGGAGACAGAGAAAGAGGGACATCCACTTGGTGTGCTTGAAAGAGAATCGCATCGCATCGAATCGAATCAAATCAAATTTAATTGAAATGCCATGCAAAAATATTTTGAGAGCAGACGGACATAGAAAATTGATTGATTTTTGGCTTTTCCAGTGAACCCCTCCGCCTCCGCTGGCAAACCATCCGCCCAAGCCCAAGCCCACCACACCCACACCAACCCATTGATACTATAATTACAAAGTACCGTTGGCCAGTTGATGAGCCCGTTGGAAAACATAATCAAGAATGCGATTCTCACTCTCTCCCTCCATTTTCGCTCTTCTTCTATCCGAAAAAGTTTTAATTTCAAATGAAGTTTGTGCAGGGACGGAGGGAGGGATGCGGAGTGGAGCGGAACGGTGCGGGCAGGACAGTCGGATGGGCAATAAAATAATCAAAGCGTGCACAAAAGTGCAACGGGAATTGCCGAAAAACTGGTTACAAAAGTAAGCAAAATCCAGGCAATGTGGAAGAAGGGCAGGGCGAGCGGTAGTGGCGGGGTAGGAAAATGCCATCAGCTGAAAGCAAGAGGAAGCCAAAAAGCACAGGGCAATGGGAAGACAGATAGAGAGATAGAAGGTATGGTAAAGAATTATGGACACCCTTTAATTGTAGGTGTACATATGAAGGTTCATGTTTAAACAGGTACAGAAACATATACATATGTATGTACTGAGCTGGGAAAAATGATCCTGTGCGAAATAAGAAACTGGCATACCCATTCAAAACTCTTGTTTAAACAGCCTGACTTCTGGCAGTACTTACAGGGTAATCGTGCTAGAAAAAAAGGGGTTGCCCAGCTGCGGGCCAGTGCAAATTTACCTGAGACAGTGGAGTGCCGAGGAGAGCAGTGCAGGGGGAGCACCGTAAGACAGAGCAGGTCTGACGGAGCAGACAAACTTAACTGGAAATCTAGTCGAAAAATGGGCAAAGTTGCATCGGTAGAAGAGAAAGCGAAGGGCAGGAGAGCGCTGCCCAAATACCGATGCCGTTGGTCCGTAATGAGACAGTCAGAAGCAATGAAAGCAGAGAGACAGGGACAGCTAATATGCGCCATTAGGGCATAATTAAAATGCTCAAGTAGCAAAGGCAGAGACAGCAAGAACAACAACAATTGCAACGAAAGCGCTGATAATGAAAACAAAACGAAGAAGAAGAAACAGGTACGTATCGAGCGGGGAGTGTGAGAGAGCAGCGACAACTTTTCTAAGGCCGACTGAGAGAGAGAGAGAGAGAGCTTAGGGCGCAAACTATTTTATGTTAAAGGTAAGGCTACCAAAGACACCAGCCAGCGCAACCAAAATTGTTTTCGTTGCATTGCAGACTTTTGTAAATGTGTGTTACAACAGGAACAAGGCCTAGGAGTGGAGAAGCAGAAAAAGCTTATCTACAAGACTGCCTTACCTTTTATTTATTGTAGCTTGTGGCCGCAGCTTTTGTCTACTTGATTTGCCTTGTGTGGGCGATGTGTGAGTTGGACTGCGAAACAACAGTTATATTTACTTGCATGCGAAAACGGCACAATGAGAACGAAATTGAAGCACTGCCAACACCATGAGAGGGAGAGCTACAAATGAGAGGATCGCTGCAAGGGAAAGAGGCTTAACCAGAGGGTGAACAGATTACTGTGGCTACAGCTTAAATGATAGCGACAGTGGCGTTTCAATAAGAGTTAATTATGAAGTGCAGTGAGTGACCACAGATGCATAGCGAATCAAATTTAATATGAATGCCTAAGACAGTAGTAATTACTGCAGAAGTTGTACATATTTCAGTGCTTGTTCAATTTACGCACTGCCTTCGTCATTTACTCAATTTACTTGTATTCTGTCGGGAATTGGAAAAACAAATCATAGCATACACTACTTCGCTCTCCGCAAGGCTCTCTCTCTCTCCCTGCATCTGTCTGCTTCTCTCGTTCTCTCTCCCTCTGACTACATACATATATCACTCTGCACTGGCAATCTATGCAATGAATTTTGGCAATTAAGCAATCATTTCGCTCATATGCTAAACGAAGGAGAGCAGCAGAGGGATGGCCGAAGCAGAAGCGGAGGCTAAAGCCGCTGCGGCAGAGTAAAACTTATGCTTGAAAGACGCTGGCAGAGCTGAAGTATACTCAAGATGTTATCAATACATACATATGTATATACCTAGCAGAGGGTATATGGATTTTGCAGAAATGGAAGTATATACATTAATAAGTATATATGTATATGTATGTACCTGCTTAATGGGTTTACTTTAAGTTATAAAATTATGAAATTTTGATTTTGTGCGTCACTTCTTTGAGAGTTCCCATGCTTCTCCCAAGAGTTCATAGTGTCTCGGCTGGGGAAGGGTATCCAAAGTTTCGGCTGGCCCTTCCTCTTGTGTTTTCCCTCTCTTTTTCACCGCTCTGCTGCCTACCAGCCTGATGATTGCCTTACGGTACAACAGGCAATCTATGGGAATAAAGATATGCATACGTGTGAGTGTGAGTGTGTGTGTGCCATGCATTTTTATGGCAGCAGAAGGAATGGATAGCAGAAGTACATGGAAAGCTCTCACTCGAAAAAGCAAAAGTTTTCACTTCAAGTAGTTTTTTCGTTATGCTTGGTTTTTTTTTCGGGGGTTCCACTGTCGTTACTGTAGTTGTTGTTGTTGTTGTTGTTGCATCATCATTGGCCTGGCAATAGAGTTTGAGCTCTTGAGTAGCATTAAAGCATCAAACGATTGTTTAGGAGGAAGAGGGAGACTGAGTGTGCGATTCGATTCGATTCGATTCTCTTCGTTGCCAAGGTATGTACGTACGAGAAGAAGGAGATCTCTTTCTGGCTGTGGCTCTGATTGAGAAATTTCGTTTTGCTGCTCAACTCCAATCAGCCATCAAACTGGGATATTTATGGGGCTATAACCATGCCCCCCTCTCCGAGGCATCCCAATTCCATTCTCTTTCGCTCGCTCTCTCGTTCTATCTATCCCATCAATCAGAGAAATGAAGTGCCAACGTTTCTGGCAAATGGCTCTAACCATCCATCCCACTGTTTGCCTGTTTGACTGTCCGCCTGTCTGCCGCTCAATTAGCCAGGCCAATATATTCACTCATTTCCAGCCAGATTTCTCAAACCGAATAAGTACAGTGAAAAGCGGGGAATGAAGGCGCATCAATGCAGCTACAGCTGTGGAAATGTTTCCCATAGTTTCCATGCTTTTTTTCTAACTGTACCTACATGTATTTGTATACCCTTTAGCGTAAGAGTAACCGTATTTCTTAGAGAAGTTTGCCATGTATAGAAGAGAGTGTGTTTGATCCGTTGCGCTCTTTGTTCTTTTTTGTTGACAACTAGCTAGCACTAGTCTCACTAGGAGACTTGTACTGAAAATAATTAGTTGGTGGGGGGACATCTACAATAAATAATTTTACAAGTGTATTTAAAGCTTCGGCTGGCCTTCGCTCTAGCTAACAATTTATTCTAGCTATAATTTCATCAATTTAGCCTGAAATTTACATACTCGCATTCTCCCCCAAAGCTTTCCCACAGCACCATTTCCAATTGGCTGGCAAAAGGTCATTGTATTTTCAATTGCAGCATAATCAGGCACGGCACACAAAATGCAGCAAATAACACTGTTTTTATTGCACTGAGAGAGAGGTAGTGGGAGCGGGAGAGCAGAGGTAATTTTGGCATTGAAATAATTTAAGTTATTTTCACATTGCATTGAAAATTATGGTCAAACAATTAAGCAGACCGTTTCTGGCTTCTGCCCCCACCCTGTGGCCCGCGGCACAATTGCTAGTTTCTATTAACTCTTTGGCCCCAAGAGGCTTAAAAGTCCGACACAAACACACACCACACGCACACACACACACAGTCACACACTGTCAGGTGTATTAAATGGCATTTGGATATTTGGTTATTTGGTTATTTGGATACGATATTTCCCTGACAAAAATACAATTAAAATGTAGAAAATTATTAAGCTACTTTTGCAATTTTCCTAATTACGCACATTAAAAAGCAAAACAAAATGAAAATTTACACAATTATGTAGATGGAATGTTCTGTGCGGTGGGGTGGGGGGATGTTGAAAAAAGTTGACTTTTATTTTTAAAATTTGTTTGTCACGCAATTTCCGACAGCAGAGCAGAGCAGAGCAGAGCGGAGGACGGGTAAATTTTCTTCTTTCTAATGCAATTATGCTAAATCAAATGAAAAATGCAACTGCATTTATTAATGCCTTAAGCAGGGCTTAGGTACACAGAACGTTATCCAGTGGGATGCAGTGTAATAAAGTACTTTTTCAGTAGGTTTATTATTTAATTCAATGCTTTTTTAATTGCTTTTAAAAGTGATACTCCTATTGCTGTTGTATTTATTTCGCTTATTAATATTTTTTCAGCATGCAACACAGTAAGTCCGTGTACGTAATACTGCTGGGCAGTCTGCTGTTAATGGGCCTGGCCATGGCCCAGGAGGATCGCTCCGCGAACGCCCCCCATGTGCGGCACAAGCGTGGCATATTCTGGGACTTTTTCCAGAAAATGGTCGTCACCAAAAACCTTATAGTGGATGTGAGTACGAGCAGCCGACAAGTCATAGAATAATCCTAAACATACTCCTTTTGTGGATCTACAGCAATACACGGACACCAGGAACACCCTGAATGACATTTACAACACGGTCAATGAGCAGTTCAGCGATCCGGGCCCGGCAAAGCCCACCAGTCTTCCACGCAGCACAACCGAGAAGTCGGTAAGTACTCTTCAGATCCTCTCTTAAAGCGATGACTTATCTTCATGCCACTCAATTCACCCCACACAGTCCGTCAGTGGGGAGGAGAGCGGGGGTGGGAGCAGCAGCAGCGATGAACCCACAACCACAGAAGCATACAGGATATCCCGTTACGAGCTGGGCCGTATCCTGGGTCGCAACTTCCGCGGCTTGCAGCGCCTGGCGATGAGCGAGTTTGGAGTGGCCCTCAATGTGAGTCCCTCTTTGGGCCCCTTAATCCTTAATCCTCAATCTTTAATCCCTTACTCATCCGCAGGCCACCAAGTACAATCTGAAGGAGTACAAGGCCGAGGCGGATCAGCAGTTCGCCAACAGCTTGGCTGTCGAGAAGAAGAACAAACTGAAGATGCTCAAGGGCTGACACTTGTAGAAGCTTCACCACCTTCAACCACCTTCCACCCCCTTCACCAGTGCCTGATAGTAGTTGTCTCTGTGATAGACTTCCTGCATAAATATATATATCTATTCTGTTCTTTTTTTTTATGGTTATTTATTTGTCAGTTTGTCTTTGTTTGGTTATGAAATAAAGTGGGGAATGTGAATGCGAATGCGAGTGTCCCCAAGCGCATGCGAAATATGTATGTATGTGTGTGGTAGTGTGTGTCTGCGACTATTTTTGCGTCATATTAAAAAGTTTTCTGTCATAATTTTATTGATAAACTTTTAAGTAAAAAAGCATCGCACGAAACTGTAACACTGGCCAAAAATGGAAAACAAACCCCCCCAAACAAACACATAGATGAAGAAGCAGCAGCTCGAAAAAGAAACAGGAAACACTCAGTACGATGGAACACAAAGAAAGAAAGCAGCAAAGTTGTGGGGTATAAAACATGAAAATGGTTTTGGGCCGGTGCATTCCAGCATTCAGCATCGCGTTAATTCTTGGAGAATTTAGTTTAACGCCATAAGAACACTGAATTATCAATAAAATACTTAAATATTCTGAAAAGGCTTTGTGGAGTGTATTTTTTGGTCATTTTCTTATACAAATCATTCCTAAGGAACTCCATCAGAAAATAGAATTCAATACTTTGTATATAAAATCAGATAATACTCTAAAATCATGGTATGACATTTTGCAGTATTTTCCATATAAATACCATCAAATTATACTAAGCGAAGAGACGGACTGACAGACAGAGACGCGGCTATTGATGCTGATCAAGAATATATATACTTTATGCGGCCGGAAACGTTTCCTTCTCTGCGTTGCACACATCCACTTCTACCCCTTAACTCTCCGAGTACGGGTATAAAAATCTCTCGATATTCGCAGCGAAAACCAACAGCAGAATAGCCTTACGTATCTATATACATATCTCTCCTTCTCTCCCGCTCTCTCTTTATTTTTCCCTTTGTCACACATACACATGAATGCAAGTTGCTGTTGCCTGAAATCGAAGTAAAGTTGCAAACAAATCCAAAAGGCAAAACTTGCTAAAATACAAAGACAGTTTTGGGTCTGCTGTCTGCTCTCTCCGGGCCACTACTCTACGCCCGTATGCCCCCCCGCCCGTTGGTTGGGTCCCTGGAATAGTTAGCAGAAACCACTAAAAGTGTCATAATTCGATGCCCATGAGATGGCTGTCTCGAAAGTACGTTGGCCGACAAAACTTTGGCGGTAATGACTGTCGTTCGCCCTCAGTCGGGCCCCAGTCCTTGGTCCTTGGTCCTTAGTCCGTGGTCCTCAGGCCTCTCACAACAAAAGCAACAACAACAACCGACAACAGTCGTGCGGTGCAACTGTGCGTATGAGCAACCTGCCTGTCTGCAAAGTTCTGTGGAAAAAAAACAACGGAAAATAGAAAAAGAAAATATCAGGCAGGCGAATATTTGGCCGGAAACTTATCGAAAGTGGAAAGTGGAAAGTGGAGTTCGAGTTGAAGTTGCATTTTGGGGACGCTGCAACATGGTGATGGCTGATCCAAAAGCCAGTTTCAATATCCTGCAAATAAACAGACACAGATACACGCTTTAAAATTCATACATAAACAGCTTCCACTTTGTTTTCTTCGAAAGACATAAAGATCTATCTGTCAGACAAAGAGATATCCGATTCGGATTGCCCCTTTATGGCAGGCAGCCCATTTCGACATTTCAATGTGATAATCTGATTTATTTGGTGTTTATTCTCGTTTCGAGTTTGTTTTGTTGATTATGACAGTGAGTCAAACGTGTTGATTGCTGCTTTAATTGTTTCTGGGTTTTTTTGGGGCTGACAAACGAGACCTGGACTGTCCGCTGGCCTGGACTGCTGGCTGCTGGCAATTATGGGTAATTTCAACAATAGAACAATTAGTTTAACAGTCCCACAAAAAATAGAGCAATAAAAACTGGCTCAACTCTGTCAGAAAAAAAAGTATAAACAACAAAACACTTTTGCGGAAGTTTTAAATGAAAATGAGTGGCAAAAGTCCAGCCAAATGTCGCCTCAGCCTCATCCCAGCGATGACTCTATACGGGGACTTATGTAAGTCTGACAGCAACATTTCCGACGCCAGCAAAAGTTCAGACGATCAGCAAATAAATTAAAACAAAACTCAGACGATGCTCGCCTTCAATTGGCAGCGGAAGCAAACTCTCATTTAATTGGGTTCAATTCCAGTCAATCGAATGGGAAGTTGGCAATTGGCATGCAGATATCGTCTTGGCATACATTATATGTATGTATTCTAATGTATGCCAACCTTTGAGCGGTGTTCGTCAAGAGGTTATATCGTGTGATTTACGTGAATGACATTGCATAGGTAATGAATGATAAATGAATCAGCCAAATAAATGGCAAGACGATCGCAAAGTAAACAATCGAAATGACAAACTAAAATCAACAAATCTCGAGTAAAGAAAAACAAGCAAAGGAAAGCAAGAGGTAGAAACGATGGTGGAAATACCCTGGAAATGGCAGCAACTACGAGATTATACGGGGGGGCCTGCGCTGAATAAATATTTAAAAATGTCTTTCAAATATTTAAAGCCACAATATGGCATAGATCCCCAAACAAAAAACACGCAAAAATTGCATAAAAGTTTCATAAATTACAGGTTGGAGCTAAACAGAACAAACAGATGGAAATAACTGAAATGGGGCCCGTCATGGTAGTTGATCCGAATCGCTTCTCTGGCATATAATTTGTGCTGATTGTCGGTTGAGTGTCGAGAATATTTGTTTAGAGCAGATCTTTCACACATATGTATATATGCTGATGTAGTACATGGGGAATCACATATTGGAGTTCCCAGAAATCGCCTACACTTCAATAATTACCATAAAAAGTTTGCGAAACCATAACTTGAGTGTTAGCAGCTTAAAATATTGGAATTCTCCATTCAGTCTCCATTGCTGTGATCAGCCAATCTACTCCTATGATTTCTACCTTCGAGAGCTGCATTCACCATTAAATGATCAGTTTTTTCGCCATCTAAATGATTCTTCCCTCTCGCTAGAGTAGTTTCCTTCATCGTGAACTGCTTGAACTTTGATTTAGTTGTTTTCCCTAGGCTTTAATTAGCTTCTAACTGATAAGCACTGATCCAGGCCCCGATCAGCTGCCTATCAACTGCGATTGCAAAACCAGAGATCACGACCAGCGGCGCACAATCACTTTAATAAACATATTCATTTATTTTCGTATGGATCACAATCAAAAAAAAAAAAGAAACAACAAAGAAATGTACGCTGCTGCAGAGGCGTTTCCTATAGAGCTGGCGGATGGGAGGGTGCAATGGGAGCCAGGGGCACCTTCTCGGTGGGCGCATCGAAGGGCACCGCCGACGGCGGCTTCGGCGAGGAGGTGTCATCGCTGAGGCGATGCTTCAGCTCGTCGTATTTGTGGGCCACGGAGCTGCCAAAGTCCTTGGCGCCCTCACCGATCTTGTCGGTGTACGGCTTGGCCGCCTCGGCCACATCCTCGGCACCCTGCTTCACCTTGCAGCCGAGACTCTTGAAGAAGTGCTTGAAGTCGCTGTCGTCCGGACTCTTGGTCTCGTCGCAGTCGGCCCGCACCTGGACCACGGCGGCATCGATCAGCAGGAGGGCGATCAGGGAGCACAGCACAAACGATTTCATCTCGACGCTTTGAGTGGGGCAATGAGACTGAAGCTCGGCTCTGTCGAACATTGGCATCGAAGTCGTCGCTCTGGCGATAGCGACGGAGTCTAGGCAACCGGTTATGTTCCCCCCTCACCACACCCCACCCACATCAGACCTCCCGCCCCCCAAACCAGACAGCAATGAAGTGAACAATAATAAATCTCAATCAAGTTTTGAATGTGTGCGTGTGTGTGCGTGTGTGTGTGTGTGCGTGTGTGCGTGTGACTTTATTTTTGCGACTGGTGCGACTTGTCGTCTGATCTCTTGGGGGCGGCTGGGGCGGCACAGGGCGGCCTTATACGCTGCGGCTTTGCCCGCCGCCAGCTGAAGCAGCAGCCGCGATGATCCCACGTCGAACAGTTGAGGCCCGTCCAGACGATGGCCTCCGCAGGAGTCCCAAGCCCAGCCATGGCCATGACCAAAGCGCTGAAGATCAGGAGTCCGCAGGTCCTCAGCAGCAACATTTTCACCCGAAAGGCTGCAGGCAACTGAAGGCTGCCACAGGGCGCTGCACGTCCACTGCACCACTCCACCACTGCACCACTCCACCACTCCACCACTCCTTTCTCCTCTCTCTTGAGCAGGTGACTCACACGCAAAAACCGGCTGAGGGTTCGCTTCGGCTTGGATTTGTTTATTTCTGGTCAAGAATAAACAGACAAAAGACGAGAAGAGAAAGTCAGGTACGAGAATGGCAGCGAAATGAGAAAAGAAGAGCCAACGGGAGCAGGAAATATACATACACACATATTCATATGCAAGCGGGAGAGAGAGAGAGAGAGAGAGATGTGAGGGCGAAAAAGAGTTCAGAGAAGAAAAGAGCTCTTTGGAGAACGTTTTCCGCAAAGTAATCCAAAATAAATGTGGCACCAAATTTAATTGTTAAATAAAACTACTTTTATAATTTATTAACCAATATATAGAGTAGTATATATGTATATGCATATATGCAGCTATGTGTAAGTGTGGAAACTACTGATTCATTCCGTGCTGAACCTCGTTGTCGACCTCGTTGGCATCGTCTCCCAGCCACTCGATATTCGCGGGTGTTGCAGCTGATGTTGTCGTCTCCTCGGTTGGCCCAGTGCTGGGGGAAGTGGGGATGCCCTCAGTGGTGGAGCTTTCCTTCTTTGAGTCCTTGTCTTTGTCCTGCTGGCTGTTGTCTGGCTGCTCCGGCTGCTCTGCCTGCTCCGGCTTCTCTGGCTTGGGCAGCGTGAGGACATTGACAAAGAGTGTGATCCGTTGGAGCAGCGAGCGTGTCACATCCCTGGCCTTCTCCTCCAGCAGCTTGGCTTCCTTCTCAATGTTCTCGATCCAGGGCTTGGCCTTCTCCAAGGTGCACTGAACACTGTGCACGAACTTTGTGACCTCGCTGGGTGGCTTTGGGGTCGTGGCCGAATCCTCCAGAGACTTGGCCTCCGTGCCACAGAGTATGGCCGCTGCCTGCAGCTGGCCGAGGCACAGGCACAGGCAGACGACGATGCCAGCACTGAGGTACATCTGGGTATTAGTCATCAACATCATCATCATGGGTATGTGGCAGCTCTGTGGTCGCTGTGTGTGTCGCCGCTGAGACCCCAAACTCGACTGAAACCCGTTTGCAGCCAGGCAGCCAGGCAGCCAGGCAGCCACTTGACCAAGTTCTGGCCCCTGCCAGCGGCCATCGAGCATCGGGTGTGGGGTAGATCCAAGATCTGCGAGAAAGTCGTCGAGCAACCAACGAAATGCATTTCCAACCAGAATGATCAGTGAAAGAGGGGGGCAACGGGCAGGGGGGAAATGGAAATGGAGAAGGGAATGTCAGCAGCAGCGCAGAATTCTCCAGAGCGAGAAGAAGAATGATCTTTGGATTATTTATAGAGCTCTGAAGAAGATCAATTGGCGCCGAGTGAGGTGAATAAATAAATAAATTAAAAAACAAATTGATGGATTAAGTGGAACAACAACAAATAGATGCCTGAATGAGGAATGATGTGGGAGCCTAAGATAGTGTGAATATATCGGAAAGAGTCCACAAATATTAACCCAATAAATACACAGATAAGTTTCCTTACTCCGTGGATTGATTGGCACCCAAAGAATATCCCATTAAATATTTTTCAACAATTTTTCACTTTCTCTTTTTATTTATTAAACAAAAAAAAACGCACTCAGACAAAGGACAAAAATCATAATGAAAAAAAAAATTAAAATAATAAAATAAAAGTCGCTCACAATTCTTAAAAAATATGTACAAGGAGGAGTCCCTAGTGGACTGCCTACTGGGAGAGTGGGGGTGGGTGTGGCACCTCCCTTTTTCTACTTCCTCAATTTGCTGCAGTTGCCCAAGGCATCGAGGATGTGTCCGTGGCCGCATTGCTGTTCGCCCTTGAGGATGTCCGGATTGATGACCTCGACATTGGCGAGGAAGCTGCGATCCTTGGACATCTCTTCGACAGAGTCCTTGGAGAGCTTCTCGCGGAAGCCGTCGAAGCGATCCTTGATGTCGCTGCCCAGGACCTTGGCCTTCTCGCCCAGCTTCTGGGCGCCCTCCTTCAGCTCGGTGCCCAGATCCTTGGCCTTCTCGCCCAGCTTCTTGGCCCCCTGCTTGATTTGGCAGCCAAAGTTCTTGAAGAAGTCGCGCACCTCGTGCTCGCTGCTGCCACTGCCGCCGGAGATCTCCGAGATCTTCTCACTCAGATCGCTCAGGCCGGGCACCTTGTCCTCACAGTCGAAGAGCCCCGCCCGGCTGGGCGCGGCGGCGGCCAGGAGGAGCAACACCAGCAGCAGGGATCCTTGCAGATGATTCATTTTTTTTTTTGATATTTGATTGACGGGGTTCCTTTGGCTTTCGGGGCGGCACCAGACTGAACCTCAGCGTTGACTCGACTTGTTCGCACTGACCTGGGCCTCCTCGATCGCCAGGCAATTTATTCAGTCGCCTCCGACTCTGACGAGCTCGGTGGCCTTTTGTTGCCGCAATCGCGCGTCACTTGCTCGCATTTTCCATTCTCGATTCTCCTCCTCCATTCCCCCCCAGCAGTAATGTAATTCAATTTGCGACAGAGGCAAGGCAAGGCAAGGCAAGGCAAGGCACAGCACAGCAACAATAATGCCACCAGATCGTGCCCAATTGTGACTTGATTTAAGCATCAACAAAGGGGGCCAAAAAGTACAAAGAAGGAGCAAAGAAATGTCGTTAGACTGAGACTCTTGGGCGGAGAACACCCCCCGAAAATACGCAGATACGCTCGACTGGGCACACTGCGGCGGGTCAAGGCTGTCCTGACTAAAAAAGATAACCACAGATAAGCCACCGGGATCATCCCTCGACTGGCGCATGTTCAAGTCGTGTTTTCGACTATTCGCTATTGTTTGTTTGTTTGTTTTTAGCCGGAAGCACTGACTAATGTGGCATACAAGTACATGTACGTGTACGAGTACGAGTACGAGTACTATATATAGTCTACAGTCTCTCTGTACGAGATGCGTTCAATTGGTTTACACTCATCTTAGCGGGGCATGAAGTGACCCACAATGGGCACACGGTGCACAGCGGCAATTGGCTATGCTAGCAGAGACCCCCAAAGGGGGAAAAGGCTTAAGTATGCCTAGAATATGATAAGCAGATTAAGCGAATGATACAATCACGCGATTCAGATATATGATGGGCTCAGGTCATCTGATGCGGGGCAATAAATGATTCATCAGGCATCATATATCTATCATGCCTGATGAGTCATTATTTTTATTTGATAATGGATTGCAGGCACTTTATTTGTGGCATATCCAGGGAATTCTGAGTCATCCTTTGGATGCATTTGGTAGAAGAAAGGGAAATTAAATTAGAAGTCAAATGGCAGAATGGATGGCATACAAAAATCTCCTGAATTCAGGGATTTATAATGCATCAACGACTCATTAAGCGATAAGCATTAAGCAAGCAATCGATCGAGAACGATTTATGTAGATCGATTTACCGATAGAAATACAAATATAAAGTTTCTAAAAGTTATCTGCATTTATAGTTGACAGAAAAAGAACGACTGATCCCCAAAGCGATGCCCAAATGTGTTTAAACATTTAATTCCACTATGTTTCAGTTCGATCTCCCCTCGCTTAGGACAGACACTGATTTCCGTCATTGCAATTTTATTTCAGCTCGTTCAGCTCTCCGGAATTTCGCGCTTAATTCAAGTTAATTGCGCCGCAGCCTCAAATGGCGCACATCAAGGAAGATATTCGTACGTTAAAGCGAGTGGAGAGCGAATGCGAACTTCCGCGTGGATTAGCGTATATTCCACTCGCTCGTTATGTCGTTATTGCCAATCGAACCGGTGGTTTCATCGACATCAGTGTCGTAGTCGTCCTCCTCGTCCACGTCCCCATCTGTGCCATCTTCATACGCATCGGTGTTCTTGCTGGCATCTGGATCTTCCTCATCTTCTTCGGGCAGCATGAAATCAGCCTCTGTAGTCGTCTGCTTCTCCTCCGGCACCTCCTCCGGCACCTCTTCCGGCACCTCCTCCGGCACCTCCTCCGGCACCTCCTCCGGCACCTCCTCCGGCACCTCTTCAGTCACCTCCTCGGGTTCAGTGAGTTCGGGCAGCAGTGGCAAATCCGTGGTTGTGCTGCTTGTGCTTCTGCTGGTGCTAGTGCTGGCTGTGGTGCCGATGGTGGTGCTGCTCGTTGTGGTGGTGGCTCGTGTGGTGCTTCGTGGCGTTCGCTGTGTGGTCGCTGCTGCCTGGCCTGCAAAAAGTTAAGTCTTAGCCATAGCCGGAAGTTAATAAACGCTGCCCAGACGCAACTTACAATCAGCTGCCGTGGGGTCAAAGTCGCAGCGGATGCGCCGATCCAAGGAGTCTTCAGTGGTGGTGGTGGTGGTGGTGGTCGTGGGGCGCAGGTCCTGGCCTGTTGGGGGGACAGGAGAGATTAGTACTTGGCTGATCGTAGAACTGATTCCCTGCCACACTCACATTCACTGCGCTGCGGCTCGAAGTCGCAACGCACTCGCTTGTCCATTTCGTCCTCGCTGATGGGATTGGTCACCACCTTCTTGGGCCGCCGCACATAGTAGACGTCCTTCACCTCGACAATCTCCAGGTCGGGATCGTAGCGCGCCACACGGCGGCGCACCCAGCGCTTGTGCGTTTTGTCCGCAGACAGTAGTGGGGCGGTGCGGGCCTGTAGCAGCTCCAGGCTGCCGCAGCCGATTATCACCACAAGGAGGATGGCCAGGGATCTATTCATTGCGTTGTCGCGCACTCAACTGCTCAGGCACTTAGTGGTCGCGGCTGGAGGAGCTTCGAGCTTGGAAGAATCTATGGCGGAAGCTTATCAATTGCGATAACCCTCCGTCCGACCCTGGCTCCGCGTGCGAGAGCATGTGCCGCCGTGAGGCACGGCCTGGCACGGCCTGGCACGAGTGTGTGGCATACTCTCGGGCTGTTGCCGTTAATTGCCGCTCACGCCTCATGACGATGCATCAATGTCGGTGGCTACATAAATTAGATTTCCTCGTGCCAGCCAACAAATTGGCCGCAAACATAATTTCCACGCCTCATCCGCCCCCATCCGCCCCCATCCACCCTTCGCCAACCGCATTGCCATGCCAAACACGTCATGCCAGGAGGTGGAAGAGGCACTCGCACCGCACTCTGCTGCATTTTGGATGAGTCCATAGGCTCGCAATTCGATTTGAATGAATTTTTATGCAGAGTTATTTTCGATAGTAGAACCGAACCCTCAAAATTGCTATTGAAATCGTAAAGAATTCAAGAATAAATCTCAGAGAATTAAACAATCGATCAGCGGGCTGTTTTCGATAAATAATCGAAGCTCTTAATCGATTGCAAATGTCTTTAGGCGGTGACTATTGATTTCTATGGATGTTGATAGCTGAAAATGTTAAGCAGTGTTAAGTGCCAGCATTCCCGCTAAATACCCTCTGGGTAATCGATAGCCATTCGATAGCTCAAATGCCTACACAGCTGACTCATCCACAAGTGTCAAGACACGACTACTCCCCGCATCCCCGCCATCATTCTTGGTTTCTCGTCCATCGATATGCCCCAAACGGCCAATTTGTTTCTGATGAAAAATATGCGAATTGTCGTTTTCCTCGTACAAACATAAGTATGTGCCTACATACTCGCACATATCATACATAAGTATGTATGTACATATGTTCGTTGCTGGCTTTCCTTCTAGCTTTTTCTCATATTTTTTCTTGTCTTTTTGCCTTTTGAATTTTGCTTTTTCTTGTTATTTCTTCTCCTTGGTTTGTTTGTCATTTTTCAATGGCAGAATATCTGTCGGCAATGGGAGGAGAGTCGAGGAGCAAATTAGTCGACCAACAGACCGACAGACCGACCGACCGACTGACGGCTGCCACATATGTTCAGGCATTTCCCAATAACATAACAGAAAATATCTGTGTATTTTGCTCAGTTTGGGTGGGTCAGGATGTGGAGGGGGGGTCGTGGGGCATAGCGAGGGGGGATGTGGCTCGGAATAGATAAACAAAAAGCAACAAAAAAGAATGTTGAACGGGGCCCCGCATGAACGCAAAAGAAACACACAGAAAATTCTGTACGAAAATTCACTTCGTTTGTGAGAGCGTGAAATATGCATGCAAAAATCAAGAAATCATTTAAAAGCATAATACAAAACTACAGAGATACCCATTACACGTGCATACACACATTGGGGTGTAAGAGCTATCCATTAGTAGAGATAATACCTGCAGCTGGTATATCTATCTATAATCCAGATAAATCACAATTGATATGTTTTTATCTTTATATTTAGTTACCCACCCATATACCCAATGCCCCCCCAGGTAATACATACATACGTACATACATATATGAATATGATCAGCCAGGGGCAGGCTGGGTGGGTGGGGTTAGCTATGATTGCCAGGGGTGGGGTGGGGCGGGAGAGGGACAAATGTGTTTGGCTGTTTCTTGGGGCCAAAGATGCGGCCAAGCCGAACAGTTGGCAACGAATCGCGTTAGCGGGCGGACAAAAGCGGAGCTGGCAGCGATCACAGCTGATCGCGGAACACACACAAAAAAGAGCGAGAGGCACGTCAGAGTGTAGCATAGGAAAGAGAGAGAGAGAGAGAGAGAGAGAGAGCAAAAGCCACAGAGTGCGAGTGTAAGCGAAAGAGAGACAGACAGTGAGAGAGAGAGAGAGAGGACACAGCAGAATTCTCTGTTTTGGTTATAGTTTTGTGCGTTTTTTGTGCTTTGTGCGGCGGAGCGTTGAAAAGTGGCACAGTGGCACGCACTTAAATGTCACTTGGTGCAGGCGAAGGCCTGTGGGGTGGCATGGGGCAGGGACAGGGGCACCAAACTGGGAACTGGCAACTGGGAATGGGAGCTGCGATCATCTAGATCAGGGAGCGATTCCGCCTATAAATAGATGGGGTGGTGGAACATGAAACAGACAGAAGCCAAGTGAGTGAATGTGAAGGAAAAGCCAAAAATAATTGAAAGCGTGGGCAGGAGAACAGTGCACACCGCAGGGGAAGAACACACCGAAAAAAGAGCGAGAAAAGTACAAGCCAAAATAAATTCAAAAAAAAAAAACTAATAAAACTCCAACTTGAAATTTTACAACCAAAAAAACTCTCAAAAATTAACAAAATCAAGTGCCAAAAAGTGCCTGCCCCAAACAACAGAAAAGACTGATCCAACCCAGCGAGGGCCCACTGTGAACACATAGTTGGGATAAACAATTAATTGGCCAGAGGCCAAAGCAAAAGAAGCAACGAAGAAGCGAAGATCAGAACCAGAGGAAGATCAAACAGTCAACAGACAACCAACAGGTGGAAGGAAGACCCCAAGACATATCCATCCCCCCACCCTCTTAGAGAGAGAGAGAGAGAGTTCCAGTTGATGCCTTGGGATGTCCCAGTCCTCAGATGAGGAGCAGGAGCAGGAGCAGGCGGAGGCCGATCCGCTGTCCAATCTGCTCAGCCTGCAGTTACGCAAGCCGCCGCACTGGAACTGGGAGCTGAGCACCTCCCGCAGTTGCAGCAACATCGCCCTGCCACGCATCCTGCTGTACGATCACACCGGAGCCCTTCTAGTTGACGCCCAGGGCAGCAGCGAGCAGACCTATCGATCCACCGATGCACAGGGCCCTGGACAGGGCCTGTGGCGAGAGCCACAGAGGCGCCGCAAGAGATCGGCCACCTCCAATCTGAGCGGCAGCCTGGCGCATGACTTTCATGGCCTGCACATCGCCGAGGCCACGCCCAGTCCGAGCAGGAGCCGGGAGCGCTCGCACACGGGCACCGGCAGCGGCAGCTGCATCGAGATCAATACCCACGAGCTGCCCAACTGGGAGCCCGGCAGCGTCAGTGGCAGCTCCCGGCGCTCCAGCTCGCTGCGTGGCGTTCGATTCCTGGAGTCGCCACAGCCGCTCGTTGAGCAGGAGGAGGAGGAGCAGGAGGAGGAGGTGGAGCTGCCCGTGTATCCCACGCCGCCATCCACCTCCACGACCACAATGACCACCACCACGGCCAACTCGTCGTCGTCGGGACCGCGGGAGAAGCGGCGCTACCGGCGCTCCCACAGCTCCATTTTGGAGCGTTTCAGCATGTCACGTGGGCGCCACTCCTCGCCGGAGTACGCCCAGGAGCGGGACATAGAGATGGCGCCACGCTACTATCTGCGGACCAGCAAGGCGGGCACCCTGGTCATCCGCGAAGAGAGCTTCAGCCGGATGCGGCAGCGTCGCCGCCGGCCGCCCAAGCACTCGTCCAGCGAGAACATCCTCCAGGATGGGCGTCCGGAGAGCGCCCAGAGTGCCCAGAGTGCCGTGCAGGCCACGACACGGAGGCGTCATCAGGAGGCAGCGGCGGCGGCGGCGGCGGCCATCTCCACATCGGAGGAGGAGCAGCTGGAGGAGAAGCCACGCCCCAGCCACGGGCGACAGTCGCGCGGCAGACGGACGCAGCGCAGCTGCGTCAAGGATGTGGCCCAGGGTGAGTCGAAGAAGAAGAGTATAATGCATACAGCTAATCTGGAACGGAACCTCTCCTCCAATCCCAACAGAACTCATCACGGTTGATCCCGACAATTGTGTCTATCGTGCGGCGCCGGGCGCCACGGCACGCTAAGGAAACGAAAGCACCGGAAGAAGGATCAATAAAGAAGAAAAGAGAAAGAAAGGCGGAAAGAGCCACAAAGCAGAAAAAGGGGAGAGAGAAAGTATGGAAGAAGTAGAAAGAAATAACTAGAGTTCCTCCTTGTGATGTAAGTCGATGAAGATGTACACTAGATGAATAAAAAATGCCATATAAAATAACACTCATAGTACGTTACCCAACACTGGTTCTGGAAGAAAGTACTCAGACAATATTTAAGCAAAGAGAAGATAATTACCGAACATAGATACATCTGTGATTATTGCTAGTAATATAAATATGAACTTTATGCCAAGAGCATCCCATATCGAGTGGCATCCCATAGGTGCAATTCATAATCTTTGGCAGCACGAAATATATATTGTAGGTATTTTTAAGTGCCACAGTGCAATCGTTTGCCAAAAAGGTCTGTCAACCTTTTCACTCAAAGGCATGTAAAATATTTTACCTATTTTAAAGGTGCACCCAGAATAGCAAAGATAAATGGGCTTAAAGGGTGGATGCCTCCGCCTGTTGTTGCCTTTCTTGGTGGAAATACCCCACAGATGATACGTACATCGGATATTCTAGTATTCGAATGATTCTTTAACCATCGCAGCCCAATGGCATGCCACAAATGTGTGGGATGATGATAGCTATGGAGCAGCCAGAGAGGCTACGAGATAGCCAGAGGCTAATCAGAGCTGATAAGCTGGATCGCCGTCGCCGGACGGCAGGCCAGACGGCAGGCGGCCGCGAGTTGCGCGCTCAGTCCAATCGAGGCATTTGGAACGAGATGCGATTGCTGCTGCTGCCGGCCGGTGTGTTTGTGGTGTTGCTGCTGTTCCTGCTCCGACTGCCCCTGCCCGGGCATGGAGCGGGTCGGGTGATATACTTTAACCAGCTGAAAGAGAACCAAACGCTCCAGGCGGACAAGAATGCGACGGATCGGCTGGGCAAGGGAATGCTGTTCGATGTGGGACGCGGCCACTGCCATCGCGGGTACATGCACGATCATCACGGCCGTTGCCGGAGGGTGAGTAGTGTCTGCCATTCATGTGGATATTGGATTGTTGGATAGGTTGAATCGAACCAATCTTTCGCTTGCAGATTGTCTAGGCCATTGTCATCCATGCCACCCCCAATCAGTGATGTCTACGCTTAAAATTGTTGTTGTTTTTGTGTGCTCTTTTTGTAGAGATTAAAGTGAAATGAAAAACCAATCTACACTGCCTTCAGATACAAAGATACAGATAAGAAAAAACAACAAAAAAAAAGAGCAGATGGTTAGGGGAGGGAGGGAGTGGGCTTTTGCAGCCCAAAAGTATGCCGAAAATTGTGTTGCTGTGAGCATTACCCTAGGTTCCATTGAGGGGATCTTTAGCCGTATCCACGGACCTTGACCCCAAAAGCAGAACCCAGAGGGTGTCAGCAGCTGCGTCACATCACGTGCCATTATGATGAAATTATGGGACTGCTCCGGGACTGCTATGGGACGTACAACGTGTTCCAGATGTCTAGATACATTATTGTACGACCAACAAGATACAACTCGACAACAGATAATGGAGCACCGTCTGACTCATATAGCTATTAATGTGTGGGGGGGGCCTACCTACTCCCCCACCGTTGGCAACTATGATGATGGGTTTTGCAGTCATATTTTCGGGAAATTTCAGGCACCTCCGATAAAGACCGTATGTGCCGTATGCCGGTATGCCGTATGCCGATTGCCTTATGCCGTATGTTGATCCGTGACGTTGAGGCCGCTTGTCGTTCGTCCAACGTGGGGAAGGCCATCAAAAATTAGCCATCAGGCCATGCGACAGGGAACGTCTGCCCCCTAATCGCTGTCAATTGTGTGGAGTCGCGTGGTCGCGCCCCGAAAATTTATACAGAATTTGGCATGGCTCACGACTCACAGGGAGAGCGACGTCGAGCATTACCTGGCCATAAAAACGTACCAATCGCACCAATTGCTATTAGCTGTCAGTATCTCCTGTTTTGGATCTTCAAAATAAAAATAGCGAACCAATTAACCCATTCACTTACTCAGTTTTAAAAATAACAATCTACCAGCAATCCCCCGCCCCGAATGACGTTAAATTTCAAGGGGTTTTATTAGACGGAACTTTGATTTGTGATTTATTTTCTTTCATAATTGGTTATATGTGCATGAGAGTTCTTTGGGATATACTTGTTGGATATATTTGGATCTTAACAATTTAAGTTCGCCATAAAAATTTTAAATTTATTAAAAAATTTTATTTTAAGAGATTTTTAACATATATTTTATTGTTTCGAAATCATGAGATAGTTTTTTTTAGTCTTTAATTTTCTTCATTTTAATATATTAATTTAATAATTTTAATATATTTTTTTTTAAATTTATTTTTTATACCCGTGCTCGAAGAATTAATGCTTCCGTTCATTTCTCCGTCTAGATGAGCGCCTAGTTCTCAGAGACTATAAGAGCTGGAGTAACAAAATTTTATTTCCAGACTCATGTAATATCACACACGCCCCGCCCCCTTCCACCACTACAAAGGACGAAAATCCAGCAAAGAAAAAATGTAGAATCTAAATGGTACATGTATGTACAGATGTAGCAAAAAAATATAAAATGTAAACTATTTTAAAACTCTGCATGAATCATAAGCTAAGTAATACTACGGGTATAAAAGTAGAGTCGCGACCACAGAAACGACTCAAACGTTCCTTCTCAATTTTTTTTATTATTTGTACGTTTTATTTCATTCCCTATTTTACCTTGAAACCTTTTTATTGTACTAAGAATTTTCCCAAAAAAAGCAGATTGAACATTCCCAGAAAGCAATAGAAAAATCCCCCCAGCTATTAACCCATCACACACACACACACTTGGCCACATCTGCCTGCTAAGGTGTGGAATGGGTTAAGGTTAGGGCGACTCCGGGCCACGTCCTATGCAAATGCATTGTGGCTAACGTGATAACGTGTGTGATGATATTATCAGCTACAGTGCACGATCTGATATCTGATATACTAGCCACTCGGCTACTAGCCTTAGACTTATCTGTATCTGTATCTTCGGGTGAGAATCAGAATCAGTGCCCGGGTCTGGGTTTGGGTCTTGCTTGGTCTGGCGAAACACTCAATTACACAGATTGCAAGTGACAGGGAGGACGGAGCACCGCCAGATAAGATTCCCAAAGCGCTGCATACAGGGCGAGTGTCGATCGAGACTTCCAAAAGGTATGCCAGCTGTGGTTGGGTTTGGCTGTTGAAAAGGAGCACCCTGTTTTGGTTTCGGTTTCGGTTTCTCGGTCTCTGTTGAGGTTTTATCAATTCAATGAAAAAGACAAGCGAACCACACTTAAGAAGTGCTACCCCTGAATCGTATATAATCAGTTAACTGCCGGCATTTGAGCACGCCAGTTAGAGGATCGCTACGGTTGGCTCAAATCAAATCAAATTATTCTCGTTCTCGTACCCGTTCACGTTCTCGTCATTCGGACACGCATTCTCTCGGAGATAAACCCCCACCAAAAACTACCCAAAACGAGATCGACATGTCGCTGCAACGCGTTCATCAGCTGCTCCTGTATTCGATCTGTCTGCTCGCGGTGATTGTGGTTTGTGCACCGGCGGGTAGCGAGTCGCGTCGTGTCATCTTTATGGCCCCCAATGGCATCCATCGCGGACAGATCTTGGCCACGCATGGCATGGAGAAGCCATGCCCCCAGTGTCACATGCACGATCATCGCGGCAATTGTCGTCGCATCATTTCGTACAATGCAGGTGAATATTACGTATACGTAGTCGTATGCGAGTGCGTCATCGCCGGTCATGGAATCGACGCGAAGATGTCAACCCGTCAACCGTCAGCCGTTAAGCGTTAAGCGTCAACCGCTTTCAGATTACTACTACTCGACAAAAAGTGCTATCGTATCTATTGTTTCTGTCTCTGTCTTGCAGATGGCGTGCGCTGCTGAGAAGGGAATGAGCCAGTGAAAGCGCCCAAAATTGAAAGCAAAACCAAAACCAAACCAATGCATCGCAACGAATCTCCACCTCTCTCAAACCAACAGCATTATTCGTGCTCTATTTATTTATGTTATTTATCAGCCTCGCACACGCTCTAGAATACTACACATACTACTTACCCATAAAAATACCTACGAGTAATACCAAATAAAATACAAAAACAAAAACAAAATACAAATATCTATAGTTGAATTAAACGCAGTGTCTGTGTGTGTGTGTGTGTGCCTTATTTTTTGTTATAATTTTATTTTTGTGAATTATCGATTGTGCATTGGAATTCCAGGCTGCCACTCGTGTCTTGGCATTGTAATTGCTGCCAGTTAATTACTGATAAATGCACACAAAAACATCGATGCATCGATGCAAACGCAATTTTGAAAATATGTTTCGACACCCCACCAACAGCCCACCACCTATCACACATGGTGTGGGACACCCAACAAGTGTGATGCATAAATTTGCATATCACTCACCCTTGAATGATATCGGGAATTCGAATGACAGTTTCATGAACTCTCTCTCATCGCTTCGGAGTCCCTCTATCTTATCAATTAAAAACACATTACGCATGGGATTTCCAGGCCTCCAACCTTTTGGCTCTGGCATGTTCTAATGGGGCTGGGGCTGGTCTAAAGGCGTCTATGATATCAGCCTCTTGAGTGGAATCGGAAATATTTGATTTTCCAATTATAATGCCGACTGGACGTAAACGCTGCCGTATACGTACATACATACATACATATATCATGGCTGCATGGCTGCATGCCGCATTATCTAGGATTTCCTCGTACATACAGTGTCCCCAAATGGCCAATGGGAGGGAGATTCGAACCGAATTAATTCGGGAACGATGAGATTATCAAAAGAGACTCTTCGCTGGACAAAATGTAGAATCTTTAGAGCCATATTAAGTAGTCTACTCCGAAATAACATTTGTTGTTTGCACTCAGAATAAGTTATCCGCTTTGCATATTCGTATATTGGAAAGATTCCTTAGTTATAGCTCAAAATCATCTGAGAAAAAACTCAACATCTTAACCAAAGACAACCATTCGGAATTAATAGAACCTAACATGAATCGTCTCATTCAGGGGTGCCACAGAAATCTCTAGAGATTTTGACTCGAGAGATTTGTCAAATCAACCGAAAAATCCGTAGGTGCCACAGGATATTTAGAGATTTCATTTTCCGGAAACTTTTTTCGGAGCTCACGCACAACAATGAGAATTGTAGCTCAGAGTTGTAGTCTTTCAAAAATAATTTTGTTATATGCTGGTCTTTGTTTATTTACTTGTTTTTGGTTAGGGATCTGAGAAGGATTGTTTTGTATAAAGTTACCCACAACAACTTTTGCATTTGGCCACTCTTCGCTCATACCTTTGAGCATTCAGAATCTTCATTAATTACGCACTTTTTTTTCTGCTGGAAATTTAAATGATGTAAACTTAAGATATTTTTTGTATCTCTAATTTAAAACCATTAAATGCATAATATCATTCGAAAAAAATTAAATTGTCAGAAAAACTAGGTGGCCAGATTTACCTTTGAGTTGGGTTTGGACGTCGACACCGAATGGCAATTCTACTAGAGATTTGACTAGAGATTTCGTAAAATGGAAATAAACCAAGTGAATTCTTAAATTGTTCTAATGCAGATAGTAAAATGAGCAAAGTGTATTTAATGCTAATACTAATACATAATACTAGAGATATTAAAACCAACCGAGTAACCGAGACAGCATGCTGTGGCACCTAGCAAACCAACTCAGTTGGAATTCGGTCGGATTGACAGTCTGTGGCACCCCTGATTCTATTTTTTAATTCATGCTTTAAATGAAGTGATATTTTTCCGAATTTCAGGCCCAACATTTCTCCGAAATTTTCGAAAAATTTACTCCGAACTGTAATTCGTAGATAATTTTAACTCCGAATTTCTCAAAACTTTACTCCGAATATACTTCGCAACGCAGAAAAAATTAATCCGAAATTCAAAATAATTTACTCCGAACTTTAATCCGAAATGTACTCCGACTATACTCCGAAACTAACAAAAATGTACTTCGAAACAGCCCTTAATTATGAAAGAGCAGACTAGACTAGCTATTTATGAAAATGGAGGTGGGGGAGGCCGATTTACCGGATAACCTGAAGGTTTACTCGGAAGGTGCTCGAAATCTAAACCGAATCTACCAGAAGCTCGCCGGCAAACGACCCGGCCCGCTCTATCGATCACTTGAACGTGCCAAGAAAAGGCCGGCCAAATCCCTCCGACAAGCCAATGGCTAGATCCGCATGAAACTTTGGACCCCAACGCATTATTGGACATACTACGTCAGATGTAGGGGCAGGGCTGGGGCTGGGGCTGGGGCTGTGGCAGTGGCTGTCACTGGGGGTGGACATGTAATCGAATGGGCGCAGTAGGGTGGGAGTGCCAGTGACTGTTCCATCAGCGTGCAGGTGATTCGGCTTCGAATCGGATTCATCAAACGACCTTATCGACATGTCACACACTCGGAGACAATTAGTGAATGAAAAACTCGCATTTCATTCTCATTTCACAAGCGTGCAAAATGCTATCCATGGGATGCATACATATGTACACATGTATATACTCGTAAGAGTGTTGGAGAGGAGCGACATAGCTGCTCGACATTCTACATTCTACATTCATTTCAATATTTCAATGCATGGAGCATGGCATAACTTCAGGCTGAGCAACGAGGAATGGTGTGTATCCGGGGAATCGTTTTCGTTTTCTTCAGACCGGATGAGAGGCGTCACTGATAAGGGGGGGCCGACACAACACGTTCGCTGGTCAGTGATCCACCACCGTATGACGAAGTCCTAACTGAAAGCCCCAGCCAACTTCTGTCGAACTGCTGCGACACATGCCGCGGGAATGTGCGTCGAGCGACTTCGTCATAGAGCGAGATGGGTAAGGGACGAAAATAGCCACCAGGGGGACCACTTGCGGCAGTCTACAGAACAGAGCCAGAGCCCACAGAGACTGAGAGCCCCAGTCCAAAGACCCGACGACAGCCCAGACCGTAGACAACTTTGTATATAGCAACCGACCAGCGGGCCGTGCTGGGGCCGTGCCATGCCGCCACACAATAGATATTTGTATATTCCAATGGGGGAGTATGCGGCCCGGGAGAGTCTATCTTATCGGTGGCTGTGGAATGCCTTTAGGGGGGCTTATCTTATCGATTTGTGCACGGCGGTCGCCGTCTTGTGGGCTATCGACACTGAATATCGACAGGCACAACATCGGGAAACGCTCCCAGTCATAAAAGCGAAGTGCTAGCGAAACAATCTCCAAGCCGAGCCAAGCCAAGCCAACCGCGCGTGCCCTCCAACAAAAATAGAAGCACGACAAAAACCTCGACAAAACAAGGCAACAAGCAGCCAACAGAAAGTTCAATAAAAATTAGCCACCATCGAGAAATGAAGCTGCAACGCCTCCTGCTCACTGCCGTGCTGATCCTCTGCCTCATCGTGGCGCAAAAGGAAAGGACAACGGAGGCCCGTCGGCTGATCTTCTTCAATCCGCAGAGCCGCACCCTGCACAGCCAGCTGCTCGTCTCGCGGAAACTGCCGCGACCTTGTCCCGCCGGCAAGATGCGGGACCATCGGGACCGCTGTCGTCGAGCGCTCATCTTTGGCCGCAGCACCTGAGACGGCGGCGCCCAATCGACGGCAACAATCAAATCTCCTCGTCTATATTGTCTATATTTTTTTTTGTTTGTTCGACTTATTTGTAAGCTAATTTATTGCTCCACGCTCCTAGAAATAGTTTCATAGGTTTATTCCTGTATTTATTACGTTATTTATTTGTAGCTGGTTACGAAACAGTCGCTAGATACATACATACATGTGTATTTGTATGTCTGTATGTATGTACATTCGACGCATAATAAACTGAAATCGAAGTAAAGATACGATACGATAGTCTGTGGAAAGTTTTATGGCCTCAGAGAGCCCCCATACAATGGACTCATCAATTGCCAAAAGATAGCTTCGTTTGTGCTTAAAACATACCGATCAACACAAGCAAGGAATCATCTGCTGGAGTTAGGCAAAGTCGTTCAATTAGAGTTGAAGATATGGCAGATATATCAACCTGATATCTGACTGAATTATAGCAGAATGTTGCATGGCATGTGAATCTTATTTTATTTTGGTACAAATTCTTTTCTATACATTCACTCCACTGAGATCAGCGATCAGCCATCAGCGATCTCCGCATGATCTCAGATCTCAACCCACATACCTCTCTCTCTCTTGCTCTCTCTATTTCGCTCGGCTTGTTGGGTAAGTCCCGGTCCGGTCTGGTCCGCCCCATGCCCTTTTTGGGTGAGCCATCAATATACTTTTGCGTGTCATGAGCAAAGAAATTTAATCTACGGCTAGATTGCGATCCGAACCGGGCCGATATGGGGAGGCCGACAACACAACATGTTTGACAAATTGCACGCCCCGGCGGAAATCAGTGACGTGAGCGATGACACCATGACGTCGCGTCGCACGGAATTACACAGATAAATACAGCACAAAAAAAAAAAAAAGCATTAAAATTAAAAATAAAATGAAGAATATTTATAGAAAGCTAGAGGGAGTCCCCAAAGGAAGAACTAAATGCGATTCGCTCGTATGGTCTGCTCGATCCAGTCCATGTAGCTGCTGATCCTTGTGTAGACGCCGGAGAACTCCGCCTCGCCGCACTCCTCGCGCCCAAACGAGACGACGCCCGCAAGGTAGACGAACCGATCCCGCTGCGGTGTGTTGGCCTCGACGGTGAGCGGTCCACCGGAATCGCCGTTGCAGGAATCAACGCCAATGCCGCCGCTGGCACACAGCTGGCTATCGCTCAGCACATGGCCGTCCTTTTGGAAGGCCGCCTGGCACTGGTCGAGGGGCTGAACCATCAGCATGGCCTTGCGCTTGAAGTTGCTCGACTCGCTGTTCTCCGTTCGCCCCCAGCCGGAGACATCGACGGCGGAGCCCACCAGCTGGTTGGCCTCTGCACCGCGTGCCGGCGGCAGGCAGACGGGCTCCACGTGCTGCATCTGCAACCAATTGACGGGCCGTGCCAGCCGCAGCAGGGCAATGTCGTTGCTCAGATTCCTGACGTTGAACTGCTCGTGCGGCAGGATGCGATCGATGTCCACCCGAATATGCTGCGGCACGCACTCCCGCCTGCCGTTCAAGTTGGTTATGCAGTCGGGATCGGTGGCCTTGTTCCATTCGCCCAGCCGCGCGCCCGTCAGCCGCCGCCCGGGTCCCATGAAGTACACGTGAGTGCAGTGGGCGGCCGTCACCAGCCAGCGCTGGGCAATGAAGGCAGCCCCACAGACATGGCTCTTGTTGCCGCCCTCCTCGGAGTACTCCAGCAGCGTGGTCCAGGGGAACTCGAGGATGCCCGCCACGGTGCCGCCGAACACACGCGACGCGAATGCCGTGCCGCAGTACGGATGCTCGGGCAGCTGGTCCGGGCTGGTGGGTGGTCGGGGCTGAGGTCGGGCTTGCGGCGTGCCATTCTGGTTGGTCGCTGCCACCAGTCGCAGCAAAGGTCGTTCCGTGGTTGTGGTGTTGGTTCCCCTGTCGGTGATGCGCACCCCCAGCACGGGTATGATGTTGCTCTCTCGCGGACAGCAGACCTGAATCAGGTCCAGTATCAGCATCAGTATCAATACCAAGTCATCACATCACTTACCAGGTCTGGCCTCTGCCGTGAGTAGCACTGCCGCTTGCTGGATGCGTCCAGTTTGTCCACGTCGTAGAAGTCACAGTTGCCCGGATCGACGCATGTGCCGCGGCCATAGTCCGCCGTGTGGCAGTTCCCAAAGTGAGTTCTTGTCTCTGCACGCGTAATGGGTAACGGGTAACGGGTGAGGGGTAAGCCTTAGTTGGATCATCATTCAGAGAGTGCAGTGCCAATACTTACTTTCCCATCGCTGGGCGAAGGCCAGCAGCTGCAGTTGGCCAACAATCAGTGCCAGCAGGAAGTGCATCAGCATCCCAGATCCGTGGAGACGCAGCATTTTGCGAATTTGCTGATATTTCCTTGCTTGTTTTGTTCTGGCTTTTGTAGCTGCCGCCTCGGACGCTGACGATCGACTAGTGGCTATCAATTGGCGATGCGATTTGCTCGGCTGAGCGTTGCGACGGCCTCGTGCTGTAGCCCCCAACCCGCCAAGCTTGGCTTTTCCACAGGTCTACAGAGCTATGGATGCAGGGGAGGGCGGGGCCTGCCTCATTGATCAGCCGATTAGCACGATCGATACTCATTGATTGCAGTAGTGGGCCAGGGAAAACCCGTTCCACATTGGCTTCCAGTTCCAGTCTCAATCTCAATCTCAGTCTCAGTCTCTGTTGCGCTTCCAGCTGCCTGCCTTCCAATGCTTGTACGATAATTACTCAGCTACGTATTCATTCGACAATTACCACATACATATGTACATATATACCCATTCTCGCACATACATACATATGTAATAAGTAAGAGCATGGGATTGTTTGTTGATTCCGTTGCAGTTTTCAGTTATCAGGCCATAAAGTGCACGATTAGATTCCTCGACTGCAGAGCAATTCGAGCGAGACGGAGTGATACGGAGGGCTCTTTCCAGTTTAAACGAATGCTAACTTTCTCACTTTGGGTCACTCTTGAACAATCATTTCACTTACATATGATTAATTTCATACGCATGCACATAGATATGTACATACATATGCATCCATGCATCCAGAATTATTCCCCAGACTTTTTGCCGGTGGCTGAACCACCCCAGCCACAACCAGTTCTCCACGATTCTCCAGTTGAGTTGTGGCATTTCCAAGCCACATTTGAAAAACCCGCGACGCTACAGATGCAAAACCCAACAAATGAATATGTGTAAATACACACATACATATGTACATATATGTATATGTATTTAATACCCATCGCTAGATGCTTTATTAATTGCACAAAACGCTTATCAATATCATAATTACTGTATATGCAGCATGTACATACATACATACATATGTGTTTATTTGTCGGAGATTTGTGGAATAAATGGAAACTGCAGTCTACGTACGTACGAGGGAAAATGTTGACAACAAGGACAGAAGGTACGCGGGTTGCTGTTGCTGCGTTCCGTTTGATATTCCTTGTTCTGCATAAGGTGCGCAATGCCCATATGCATATGTATGTATGTATGTATGTATGTAAATATGAACAAATAAATATGATTTATGAATTTTAAATTATTAACTATATAGAGACATAATTCAGTTGCTGCTACAAAACGACAAATTTGTAGCCAGGGCAGGGCGCAGACAAAGCCGAAGTTTTTTCACTTTTCGACTTCGTCTTTTCATCTGTCGGCGTTTGCTTAGCAGATTGCAGTTGTAGGCTGGGAAAATTGTGGAATTCGAGAGGGATTACTATATTGTTTCCTTTGCATGTAGCTAGTGGGTAATTAGTTACGTAAGTACTTACTTATTTTAGGAAATTTCCACCTGAACTGTTGAATGGAACATACACTTACCTATGTATGTACATAAATGTATGTTTGCAGCGGCAAGATTTCTCACTCTCTCTCTCTCTATTAGTGAACGAAATTTGTAACTAATACAGACGCAATAGGAATGAAGCATTTATTTCAAAATAAATACTCATATGGCATTTCTTTACAATTCGTGATAATCAAGAATACCTACATATGTACATATTTATGAACATATGGGCAGTTCCCTTCTGGCGTTACGTCACATTCATACGACAAAATGTTGAAAAGATAATGAAAAAGCAAACTCTGCTAATTGGGTTGGACTATTTGTATAAACATTTTTTGTGCATATATTTATATGAAATACACATGTAAGTGGTGTTCATTTTCAAAAATATTAAATTTAAAAACTTTTTCTGTTAACCTGTTGTTATACAAAAGTCCTTGGAGGACTTGCTGCCGTTGCGTTACCAAATTCCGCGCGATAATAAAAGCTTAAAAATATAATGTTAGTCGAGATTGAACAAATTTTCTGGCCATTTTTCAAGGTAGTTCAATATGTGAGAGACACTTTGAGGAGACACTTTTATCAAGAATCATCTTTTTTCTACGAGATGACAGTAAAAGAAAACATGACTGTAAAAATATCGGTGAACGTGAACTGTTGCTTGTTTGAATAGGTTTTCGCATCAAAGTTAATTTCATTTCATATGGCCATTGGAATTAATTACCTTTCCACAAAATTAAAATATAATATTGGCACAAAAGTGTATGAAAATCGGTTTTTATTGACTTTTCATGATTATGGCCTGGTCTGGACCTTTAAGCGGAACTTCCCAGCCCCCATGGAGACTCTTATGCGTGCACTACAAACTTATGTCTAGAACCAAAGCTCCCAAAAAACAGTCAACACTTTCGGGCTGTCTGAAAAAATTTCACATTTACGGACACATTGCGAATGGGAGAGAAAAGACCCGATCAAATCTGTCTTTGTTCATTTCGCTCATCGCTCAAGCAAAGACCCGACTTTGCAATTCTGTTTTGTTGCTGTTTTTCACTGAGCAACGACGCCACGAGCGAACGAATAAGTGTCTTTTGCTCTCTAAGTGCGGAGTGCGGAGAATCTGAATTCCTTGCTAGTGGTTAAGCCTAACTCTGTTAAATCTTAATATCAACCTGTTACATATAATTTACATTTTCTTCACTAAGATTTTAAGACGGGTTTTCCATTTCTTATACCCGTACTCAAAAAAGAGTTAAGGGGTATATTAGATTTGTGGTAAAAGTGGATGTGTGCAAGGCAGAGAAGGAAACGTTTCCGACTCCATAAAGTATATATATTCTTGATCAGCATCAATAGCCGAGTCGATAGAGCCATGCCTGTCTGTACGTCTGTCCGTCTTGTTTGACGCCTGGATAAAAGCTAGAGGAACCAAATTTGGTTTCCAGACTCATGTGATATCACACTGCTACAAGTGTATTTCGCCCCGCCCCCTTCCGCCCACACAAAGGACGAAAATCTGTGGCAGGCACATTTTTAAAGATACGACAAAACTAAAAACGCAGTATCGTAGAGAATGGCCATATCTACCTGATTGCCGAATCTGAATTAGATCGGATCATAATTATAGCCAGAATGAAGAAATTAATTTTCAGTTGGCTCCCCTGCCCCCCCTCCATCAAACGACAACGTAACTCATTTTCCTTCTCGCTCGCACACTCTGCCGCGTTCAGTGCGCGAGCAACCCCTAGCGGAGGAGATGTAGAATCTAATTGGAACATGTACAGTCTACATGTTAGATGTAGAATATACATTGTATATGTAGATGTATGTAGAGAGCAGACGTAGCAAAAAAATGTAAAATGTTAATTTTTTTTTTTTCTAAAATTCTAAAAAATCATAAGCTCAAAAATGTATATACTGACTGAGTACGGGTATAAGTAGAGTCGCGTCCCCAGAAGCGACTCACACGTTCCTTCTCGTTTAATTAATTTTTTTTTTAATTTGACACAGTTGCGTGTGACCAAATGACCCCAATCAAAAGAGACATCGAAAAATGCATGAACGATCACAAGACTCGTTATCGGCACACATCCTTGGAAGAACCAAGTCAACCCGCAAGTACTACTGTATTTGGTTGTTTCTTTTGCTCTCGTTCTTATTTCTTCGTGCTCGTTCGATTTTCGTTTTTACCGAAGCTTGTTGTGCTTGGTGCTTGCTTTGTTCGTGTGAAGCTGATTTTAAGGTAGCAAACAAATACAAAATACGGTGTATAGAGTATTTGGAAAGTAGCCGACAACGAATGCATTCGCGCAGGGCTCCAATTCATATGTACCTGCAAAATTATATATGTACATGATCGATTTTCCAGATATTATTAGGGCATAAACACGAACAAAACTAAAAACTAAAAACACTTCTCGCAGACACTTGTTTTATTCTGCTCGTGTACAGACTCTTTCTGCGAGCGCTTGATCCAATGTGCCTCTTTAGGTTGTTATTGTGAGACACGAGCGTGTCTCGGCTCTCGGCTCAACCCGAAGACACTTAACAGATAAAACAAGCGAAGAGACCAAAACTGTGCTCTGCTCAGAGCGGGAGAGCTATGCCTAGAATTCTGCTCACTCTATTTCGTGCCTCTCGATTCTAGCGCTTTCCATATAGCAGATGTGTAATGTAAGTAAGTGAAGTTCCTGTTCGAACGCGAAACGGAAGCTATCGAATTACGAAAAATTATTGCTGCCCAAACAAAATGTACCCCAACAATTGTAAGTATACATATGTACATATGTATGTATGTATGTATGCGTTGAGACAGGCAGGTACATTTTTATGTATACAGTAGAAGGGTTCAGTCCCAGTTGGTGGCCCAAAGCGGAATATACAAAAATGTCACAGCAAGTCTGAAGTTTTGCCAGAGTGGGAAAGACATTGGCTTTTTGCATAAATGCAAAATATTTAAGGCTCAAACTGTGCGAGCTATGAAAATCCCACTGCTGGTGGAGGGGACGGCAGGGTATCCTATGGTGGGTAGGTCCGTCCGCGGGCAGGATACGAAATTTGAAATGTTGCAGCTGCACTTGCGGGCCACTCCAGCAACAATCTGTGTGTCCGGGGGGCAGAAGTCGAATCTTTGCTACCCCTTAAATGATGGCAAGCGTATTCCCAATAGAAGTTCATTTAAAATTTGATAGTACATACATCTGTACATATGTATGTATGTATTTCGTGATGTAATTTCATCACAAGAATCGATCAAATTTCTGTGTGCTGTATATTGTCCATTCCATTGAATCCTTCTGCCTGATTGGAGTGCCAGGACACAAAACTCGAGTCGGACGTCTGGTTCCGTTCCTGGCCTCTTTTGCCATTCCTGCTCACTGTTTCGCTCTTGCCCCCTCCCCTCTCCACCCTTTCCTTTTATGACTATTTTTTTCAGAGCACACAAAAGTTTGTCCAGAGCTTTGACTTTCGGGAGAGGGTGGAGGAGGCTGGGGCTGGGGCTCTTCCTTAGCTAGAGGAAGCCAGCCAAAACTTGAGGCAGAGCAGAAGTACGAGTATCTGTTGCAGTGTCACCGACTTGAAATGGCCAACGGGCTTGGTCGGCGGGTGGGCTGGCGGGCAGGCTGGACGGGTA